CTTTTGTGACCAAAAGCCTGCAAAACTTTCGGTGACCAAAAGCTTGAGAGGTCTTTCGTAATCAAATGCTTAAAAGGACGGGTACCGCACGCGTGAGCTCTGGTTACCAAAGGCTGAAAACGGCATGTGCTGCACGCGTGGCTTTCGGTTACTAAAGGCTTATGAAACGGATACGGCACGTCAGGGCTCTTGGGATTCACTGCAAGGATGTTTTATCAGACACCATGAAAATGTTCAAACCAACATAAGCGAAAACAACTGACGATTAAGATGATTTTACGACATTAATTTTACTCTTGGGATTAATTGCTTAATAAGGCGGGTGGCGCACGCGTGGGCTCCGTTGACCAAAGTTTTAATAAGGCGGGTACCATACACGTCGCCTTCGGTGACCAAAAGCTTTAAATATCATGGTGACCAAAGGCTTTAAAAGGCCTTCGGTGACCGAAAGCTAAAAAACCTTTGGTTACTAAAGGAAAGGCGGATACCGCACGCGTGGTATTTAGTGACCAAAGGCTTTGGTGGTCAAAGGCTTAAATGGCTTTCGGTGACGAAAGGCTTATTAAGGCGGGTACGGCACGCGTTGACCAAAGGGCAAATAAGGCGAATACCGCACGCGTTGCCTTGGGTGACCAAAGGATTAAAAACGTGGATTCCTCACGCGTGGCCCACAGTTACAAAGTTTTTCTGTGTTTATTGGTCTACTTAGGCTTCCAAAGCCTAGTTGCACTTAGCTTTCCAAAGCTTAGGTTCACTAACGTTGATGGCTTAGTGTGTTTGGAAACATTACTTCTGGAGGAATTGGCAGTTCAGGCTGATCTGGTGGTTCGGGTTTATCTGGCTGCTCTGGTAGTTCTGGCTGGTCTGGTAGTTCTGGTGGATCTGGTGGTTCGGGATTTTCTGCTTGATCTGGTAGTTCTGGCTGATCTGGCAGCTCTGGTTTAATCTGGCTGCTCTGGCTACTCTGGTAGTTCTGGCTGGTCTGGTGTTTTGGTTAATCTGGCAATTCTGGTTGATCTGGTAGTTCTGGCTGATCTGGTGGCTTAAACTAATCAAGCAAAGTTTTGTACTGGCACTAAGGTTTCGAAACCTTAGTAAGCCGAAGGCTAAGGCTGAAGGTAGGCCTGGTTGATCTGGTTGATCAGGTATATGTTCGTACAGACACTATGGTTTCGAAAGCTTAGTAAAAGTTAAAAGCTTGAAAGCCGAAAGGTTGGTTCTGTCCAATCGGAAACGTAAGGCTGGTTCTGGCCAATCAGAAAACTTTGGAGGCGGGAACGTGACGAACAAACATCTCTGCTTTAATATAAGAATTTAAAGCAGTCCTTACATTTTTAACCTGTCACTGAGCAAGAATGACCGTGACATTTTTTGTAAGACATAAATTACAAAGATTTTACCAAAAAAACTATGATAATATGATCCTCAGGTATAATAACGATGTATCCCAGACGGCTGCCGCAGCCGGAGGACATCTCCATGGGAAACGAGTAGCGGAAGGCAGGTCAATTACATTTGGGTAAGCGTTGCGCGTCGGGTAACGGGAAAACGCGTAAAAAGTGTGACGTAACAGCGCGTAAACAAGCAAACATTCTGATTCGCAGTCACAAAATCTGGGATGGGTTTTCAGCTTACTTGTCCGCGTAAGCGTTGCGCTTCGACGTCGAAGCGCAACCATTACAAACTACGAGTAACTCGTAACTCTCCTGCACAGATCAACAAAATTTGTGTGTTTGGACCAAAAGTAAATCCAACGACCGAGATTCACAATCCAAAACTCATAATTAACTTTTTGACGTAATACCACATTTACCACATTACAGCATTAAAAATGAGTTTTTCAGTTCCACGTCGGTGTTCAATTTCTTTCTTGGCACGGAAGCGTACTCGACTCACGATTGGACGATTGTTTTTCTGCTGAGTCATGGCTAATTTTTTACGCGTCTCTCCATTACCCGACGCGCAACAGTTACCCAAATGTAATTTGTTATTGTTGTATCCAGCTTAACATGTGTGTAATACATACAAAATGCGGTAACATCACAGTTTCGAAACAATAAATCAAAACAACAAAATCTCATTTAATGCTGCCGCTCCTTCCATTGTACCGAGAACGGAAGCGGCGTTGCCTCGCTGAATTTCCAGCAACAGACGTTGACGAAGGTACTCATGGGAGCGAGGCTCACCCGTATGCTGTTGAAGTCGCTTGCCAATTTCTTTCACTAAACGGCTAGCTGATTTTCCCCATGGTCCAAGAGTTTCAAAAGCCAGCGGTCCAAAGATGTATCTGCCCTGTAGATACAAGTACAGTCCCGCCTTTCTTTCTCCGCCTGTGCGGCGGCGGATCCAGCGGTGACTGATGTGGCTTTCCGGTGAGACATAGCAACAGTATCCACGCAGGTCACGTCCCACGCCAAACACATACCGCGTTGCCACGCAAACGTGGTGCAGTTATCAGGGCGACGGTCCGATGTGTGGGATGTACCTCGCGGCTCCAGTTTAGCAGGGATGCCGGCGGACACTAACGATCTGCACAAAATACTATTCAGGCCGCCGTGGCGTGGATGTCTTCCGGCTGAGAAAGCACAGGACAACCCGTGGTGGCCATACACATCTACGGGCTTGTGGCACTTAGAACATGAATGCGCTTCACAAATATTTACTCCCAGTCTCAGGCCGACTGATATCTTCACGGTGTCATCGTCCAGGAGGTTGCCGATGTGTGCCGAGGGCAAGGCATTTAACCATATGCCGGCTTCCGGTGTCGACTGTGCGAGGAGGCGGGTCCGGTTAATTTCATCATCGCGAAAGATGTCCAGCAGTGTGGATAGTGACGTGTTACATAGCGGAAGGTCCCATGCTCGTTGTACCTTTCTGACATTTTGGTCTGGGAGATCTGACAGTCGCGCGTTGACTTTCCACAACTCAGAAGCGTCCCAAACATTTACAGTATGGTGATCAGGAAGCAATAGTGATATTAAGCCGGATACGGAATGAATCGATGCCAAAAAGGCAGGAAGAGCTAATTCTTCCGCCCGGCGTATGCCAATACCGCCTCTGCTCACTGGGAGTGTCGCCTGCCGCCAACACGGATAGTCGTCGTGGGACGTGCGTACATTGCACAGAGACTGAAAACACACCCGCACTGCTTCATCCAGTTGATAGAGTTGCTGCGGTTGTTTCCATGCATTGCAACAGCGCAGCATATATATGATCTTTGGGGCCCCTAGACAGTTTTTCAGTAGGAAGAGTGCTTGATGACGTGGCAAAAACTCTAACCGCTCACACGCCATTTTAACTGTTGCGCACTTTAAGGCTTTATATTCAGGTAAGAAACATTCCGCGGCGGCTAACACGGCTTCTCTAGATACGGTGTTAAAGGCGTTCTTGAAGTCAACTTTCAAAATCGCCGTTACCTCCGCTACGGACGACTCCACAAATTCTCTCGTCGCATGCACAATTGCTTCTGCACCACCACGCACGTTAAAGCCAAGTTGCTGGGGTGACAGAACGGGTGTGATCCGGTCGGCCACTCGGTGGCATATGATTTTCGCGATCAGGCGGCGCAATGTTAGACCGACCGCAATCGGGCGTAAGCCGCCGTCTTTTTTTTTAAGGCTAGCAGCTTGCCACCAAAAAATATTGGTCGGATCTCGGCTGGGACACTTCCGCTGAGGCTTAGGTTCCAGACATTTGCAAGCGCGTCGCAAAGTGGGCTAATGTAATTGACCTCCACCAATGCAGTTTAGGACATAATTCCCGTTCGTGAAACCGCTTGCCCAGCTAACCAAAATTTTTGATGATTAACCTAAAATTCGCTTGTGGCAAATGCTAGAAAAGGTTTCTGGAGCCTGTATTTTGGAAACCAACTTGTGCGCTACATATGTCGCGTACCGTACTATCCGCCGACGCTAGGTTTAAACAGAGATTTAATTGGTTGCGCTTTAGGTGGCAAAATGATGAATTTGTCCTAAACTGCAGACTAATTTTCTACTTTTGATATTTTATGTTCATTAATTTTTCAAAACGTGGACGGAAACTACTAACATTAAAAGCATGAGCATCAGCCGGCTGCGTAAGGGTTGCTTGATACAAGTGACTACCTGTCTTATAGCAGGTTTCGTTAATGTCCATTTCTTCCCTCGGGAACAATTCACGACAACCGGCGTTCAGAATTTTCGGGAAAGGGCTCAAACGATCGGTCTCACTGCGCATGCAGTTCAGCGCGGCTTTCTCCACAGAAACATCGACATCCTCCCGGAAGTCGGCCGGAGTGCACCACAACCCGGCGACGGGCCCGAAGACGGTGGGAATGTTGGCGTCCCGCAGGAGCAACACGTGGCACGCCTGCATTAAGTAACAGACGTAACTGAGGCTGGCCCATTTTAGCCGCTGCTTCTCGCAGTTCTGCGCCAAGACGCGAAAGCATCGAATGTTCTTTAGAACGATTATCGGTAGACGTGTGACTTTAATTGATAGAAACTGAAAGATATTGTAGCGATAGAAGTTGTACAACCCATAAGACCACCCAGTTATGATTCATCATGACGTTATGAATTCTCTTTATTTTACCGGCTAGCTGTTCTTCTTCACAATTTCTAGAATTCATTCTTGCCTTAGCTTGCTACAGCTTGCACCAGCTTGATCAGCTTGTTCCGCTTGTTAAACTCTTGCCTAAACCTTGCTCCCTGTTTTGCATTGTTCTTGTCATTAAACATGCCGTGAACATCCGTTGTTACGATCAGTAATTGTGTTACGTCAGTAAGAGCGTCCACGACCGCGCCGTTGCCGGTCGTGCCAACCTTTCATCTCAACAGCCCACACAACATCGTGGTACGGTCAACACGCCAACCCACTAGAACAGCAGCCAGATCGGCTTCTGTTACATGGCGCTCCTGTAAAAGAACCAGGCCACCTGGACGCCTGCAGTCTGAACTCGCGATTTCCACAACATCGCCACTTCCCACACCACCCGCAAGAAGTCTCAGACCTAGTCATTTCGACTTTTACCGGTTCGTCGTTTCGCGATGCAAGTACTGCGATTACGTCTGTAAGACCGTAACCAACTGTCAGTCGTGCCAGCACTGCAGTTTAAGCTTATAATTGATTAAATGTATTCTGGCATAATCAATCGTGTAATTTCGATACAATTGGCGCAGTTAGCTACGTAGGCTGTACACCTTAGCTAACGTTTTTCTGCACGCATATCCCAGTCGGATCGTTTTTCGGAAAACCTTATTGAATTTGCCGGTACGGCACCACAGTTTACCGGTTTATTGTGCTTTACACTTACAGTACGTTTGTATATATTCGCTTTGTATTATACCTTGCATATTCCAGCCGTCTATCTTTTTGGCGCCGTTTTGAGCTGTGCACAAAAAACCATTAGCAGTCACGCTCCGCGTACGCAATGGAATCTTTACAGCAACAACTTGATATTACATTCACTCGGAATGCACTACGTGACATCTGTAGAAGTTTCAATATAACAATCGCTTTAAAAAACACGAAGGCCGGAATGATAAGCGCGCTCTCCGCTTATATGTACGTGAACCACATTACTGTGGATCAGCTCCAGCGCTCCCAGTCCCCTACTGACGATGAGTCAGTCGCGCCGGCTGAGCACACTGTGCACAGCAACGCCGCACCGACCACACGTTCTCACACTCAGAGGGACAGTCTATCAAAGCAGGCCACTACAGCGCGTACTGAAGGCGCTCAATGCAGGTTCCAAACGCTCAGTGCAGCAGGGAGCACACAAGCCAGCACACATGCTGCAGAGCCGGTAGCGCGCATTGCTTTGGCACAATCAGCTGACAGAGAACTTAATCACATGAGTCGTTGTGAAAGCACTTCTAACGGCTCTGCTGCTGACAATAACGGCGGCGCGTACCATCATCGTGCTGTTTACGAGTATCACAGTAAATCGGATGACCGCCGGTCAGATAATGCGCACCAGAATCGTTCTTACCGTGAATATTACAGTAGTTTCAGTGACTCAAATGGTTCCCGGTCACCCAATTTACACCGCTATCGCGCACGACACCGTTCATACTCTCGTGATAGCACTTGTAGTGACGAATATTATAGTACACATTTCCGGGAACGCAACCGTTATTCGCCTGAAAGTGAACGTAGTTACGAATGTTATCGCAAACCGCACCGTCGATACTCGCCCGCCCGTGACCACACAAAATACTGCAATCGCGAAAAGTGTAATGTGGACAAGTTAATACATCCAAGGTATATCGACTTTGAAAGCTACAGATTAGACAACGGAAAATTATTTTGTCCAAAGTGTCTTGATATCTTTCATTCGTACGGAGAATGCACAAACTATAGTTGCGATGACAAATACACTATACCGCGTTTATGCCCAAATGACGTTAGAGTTGCAGTTCAGGAAGAATACGATAACTACATACACTACATGCTTGAGCGAAAAGGAATGTCGTTCTTGTTTAGCAGTCAACGGAAAAGAATGGGAAGCTACAGGAAAGGCGGCCCGTATGGCTATAACTATGTACCTCCCGTATTCTATAGCCTCTCTGAAGATAAGTTGTACAGTCGTCGCTCAGATGACCCGGCATCTCGATGCAAGGAAATATTAACTAAGCAACGGGAAGAAATGCACACACCCGATATTTTAAAACCACGCACACCATACATCAACACTGCAGGCACTGCAAAATTAAATGATGCCGTCTTGAATGCGACTTCTCGGGAAATAGCGAATACCATTCCGCAAAAACTCGACTTATGTGAAACATTGCTGAATGAAATTTCCGGTGATTTGACAGCACCGACATCACCGTCTATCGCAGAGAAGGAGCACCCATCTCAGTCAGTGAACAATTCCGTAATGCAGAGAGTACCTCAAATTAACTTTTTGCCGTCAACGCTGTTGAAACAAAAATTAAATGAAATGATTTCTATCGTACAAAGTATTCGGCCAATTCTATTGTCAATTCTATTGATGCCACACTGGAGTATATTCGCAATTCTCCATTCTATCAGACGTTGTTTACCAGCCCGCATTTGCTCAACATACCTACTGGTATATTACCATTTCGCGACTCTGCTCCTCCATCCCCACGACGCCGGACGAATGCGGAAAATTTTCGGATACCGTAACTGTAAGGGATGCCTAACTACAAGGAAACGGACGTTTACCGGATGCCTTAGTCAACCGTGAGGGAACCAAATCAGCGTATCCGACGAATTGGAGTACAAACTGGACTACTACGACAGTCTCCCTTGACCTGACCTGCCGGAATCACTGCCGTCATCACCTTTAACAGTACACACCGTACCGTGGCGCCGCACCAGTCCCTACCCCCTCCGGACACGCCATGCAAGCACAGCCAGTATTTAACCGCATTTAACCTTTTTCAGTTTCCTTCTTAATTTCTTTTCCTTTGTATTGTCTTGATGAGACAGGTATATCTCATCGCTACCGTGAGGGATGTAGCGATAGAAGTTGTACAACCCATAAGACCACCCAGTTATGACTCATCATGACGTTATGAATTCTCTTTATTTTACCGGCTAGCTGTTCTTCTTCACAATTTCTAGAATTCATTCTTGCCTTAGCTTGCTACAGCTTGCACCAGCTTGATCAGCTTGTTCCGCTTGTTAAACTCTTGCCTAAACCTTGCTCCCTGTTTTGCATTGTTCTTGTCATTAAACATGCCGTGAACATCCGTTGTTACGATCAGTAATTGTGTTACGTCAGTAAGAGCGTCCACGACCGCGCCGTTGCCGGTCGTGCCAACCTTTCATCTCAACAGCCCACACAACATCGTGGTACGGTCAACACGCCAACCCACTAGAACAGCAGCCAGATCGGCTTCTGTTACAATTATAGAGATCCAGTTCTGAACTCAGATTGCCGTTCATTAGCGTCAACGAAACCGTGGCCTTCGTTACGACGTTGTCGAGGATATTAAGCAAATGAGCGCGGCTGCACCTTCGCTCACGGTCGTTTGCACCATCGAGTAGTAGTTTGGTCAGGTCGACGACTACATGTGGGATGCCGTGGCGAGCGTTTAGAAAGAACAATATTTAAATTATTAAGATCTCAAAACTATGGGATGGCCGGGGGAAGTATTGATCTTTTTCTTAATAGTACTAAGATGGGCAATTAGTAGAACTGAGTAGTTACACCACGAATCCCGGAAAACAAGAAAACAAAGAAAACAAAACCGGAAGTCCGACATGTGGTTAATAAACCAGCCAACCACCCCAGTTGGCAACTACGTCTATCCTCCTGCTCTTCGGCAGTCAAGCCACTCCCAGACAGCAGTACTCAGGATTCGGTAGTCAGCAGAAGAGATGTCTTTTCAGTTTTTCATGGTTCTCCGTTTTACTTGGTAAATAAGACTTTTCTGTCCTAGATTTTGTGGAGAACGATTCGGATCATTCTCTCATCAGACAGTTTTCAATTTTGAACGGAATTCGACAGCTTTTATCTCTGCCAAAGCTAAGTTCCAGGTGTGTCGGTCTCTTCACTCTCTTGTGTGCAGTAATTGTAAGGTACAACCGTACAAGTACAGATATCTGTCTACTCCATCAGCACCATCATGACGCAGCCTTCCGCATCATGCGTGAGGTTTGAACGCCGAGGCGCAATTTCCGAGATTACGAATCGTTGGAAGAATGTTCTGGCCAATAGTGAACTGACGGATGTGGAATTCGCCGTTGGACGTCAGTGTGGCGGAGTGCAGAAGATCCGAGCGCACAGGCACGGTTTAACAGCGCTCCTTTCCCAACGGACGAAATGCATTCCAGTTTTTCGTGAGTAATAAAAGTTCCTCTTTTCCCTAGATTGACTTTGGGCGTCAGCAGCGAGGTGTTCCATGCGATGTTCTACGGGAGCTTAGCCGAGCGTAACGACGCTGTCATCGACGTCCCGGACATTCCCCCAGACGCTTTCAAGAATATGCTCAGGTACCGTCCTATGCGTAATCTACCAGTGATGTCTGTTCAGTTCAGTTGCTTTTGTTTCGTATTTGTAGCTATGTGTACACTGGGACGGTGGAGAATCTGAAAGAGGATAATGTGCTGCAGACGCTCTACTGCTCGGACAAGTACGACTTGCCGTGGCTGGCTGAGCTCTGTATGGATTTCGTTCTCCAGGACTTGAAGCCGGAGAACTGCCTGATGTACCTGGGAAATGTTGGTGTTTTGCTAAGAAAACTGAACCCGATATGCAGGGTAGATGACTGTATACGTCGTGGTAGGCGCAACGCTGGACTCCGGATTTTGATGTTGTGATGGAGAAGTGTTGCGATGTGCTGGATGTATCCAGCAAAGTCGTTCTCCAGTCGGAGTACGTCACGGCATTGGAGCGTAAAACTCTAGAGATGATTCTAGAAAGAGACACTTTGTCGGCAGAGGAGAATATCGTGTATACTGCCGTTGAAAAGTACGTAGGTTGTTGTTCCTGTTTCTTATTGCCTTTTTAAAGCGAACAGCTTCATGGCAAGTAGGTATTGCGAAATTTCAGGCGGTATTCGTAGAGGAGAATGCAATATTTGTACCGATATCTTTTATTTCGACAACAGCCAGTATAACGCGGGGCCGTATGGGCGCCACGCGTATCCTCGACAGCGAACAGCGGTGAACTCGGATGAAGCTTTAATGCCGAATCTAATGCGCACCGTGGCGCAGCAACACCAGACTAGCAAGGAAGGATTCTGCAGCCAGTGCAATTGTGCTGCAGATCCGTCAAAACAGCGCAGAAATGTCCGGGGTGGAAATCCCCAGAAACAGCGAATAGCTACTCAAGAGGACGGAGCGTCCCGCCCTTACACCAGTGTACATAACAAGATGCCTGCGCGGATTTACACTAATAAAAAATAATGATCAAATTTAAACATTAAAAAAATTTTTATGCAATATTTTTAATATTCCGTTGCATTTATTGCTGTGCATTGGCCAAGCGCTCAGCCAAGCAGTCAGTGTTGCTTTGTTTCTGTAGTCTGTTTGTAGTGTATAGTGCAAGTACACGTACGTGTATAGTGCAAGTACGTATGTACAAGTGCAAACGATGTGTATTCTCGTAAATTGTGAATACCGTAGCAACTGGTAATGGAAGTACCAGCGCTGCTACGTTATGTCAATTTAGTTGATTGTTTGCTGTTCTCCCGAGCGGACATAATAAAAGATTATACCGTTCGTTACACACATGGCACTGTTACAGATGGGCCGCGACAGCCTGTGCTCGCAAGAAGCTGGCTCCCACGCCGGCTAATCGTCGCCGCCTGCTGGGCGGTGCATTGTACCATGTACGCTTCCCGCTGATGAATGACGAAGAGCTGGCCAACGGACCTGTTAAGGTTGGGATCTACTCTGTCAAAACCACTTCATCACGGTCCTGAAAAAAATCGCTAACCCCTTCGCTGGGTTTTTGTAGAGCGGTCTACTGACTGCCAACGAAGTACGTGAACTGTATCTCTGCAAACATGGAACCAGTGAAGACCAGCTGAAATTCTCCACGAAACCGCGGAAGTACGTAGCGTTTCGTCTGGGGTCGAAGCGCGAGCCCTTGTGCAGAAATCGGGAGAGGTTGTTCGTTTTATTTGCGAACGGTTATTGGTATCCCGCGATCGTCACTGGAGACAATGAAGTGGATGATTATGCCAAGTATAAACTGGAGGAGCCGACAGACAAGGGTGACTTTGTCCAGCCAGCCCAAGTCGTTCATGCCGGGGATATTCTTAAACGTGGACTGGTCGTGTACGCGTACATTGACGGAGGCTACCAAGAGGCGACGTACGGCGTACAGCGAGCGGGTCGCCATACCGTTGAGGTTGCCGGTCGAGAGAGTAGTGTGGCATTCAGGGAGTTGAAGATTGCCGGTAAGCACGTCGAGGAATGGAAAGCGGCCTGAAATTAATGCTGGCATTTTTTGGGATGGAAGTGCGGTGTGGAATTGGACGGTCTTCAGTTGAATTTATTTATTTTGAAATGAGTGTACATGCTCCGATGTTTGTGTTCATATATTTAGCTGTTGGTACAACATGAGTAGACTGAAATCATTAGAGTATTAGTCTTCTTAGCTTCATTACGCACTGTTTTTGACTGGGTGGACGCAATATTGGAAACTGTGGATTGTTGACATGACGTTTGCTATACTTCGGGATTTAATTAACTGCATTCATTGTATTGTATAGATGGACATTTTAGTCACCGTACATACCGGTTTACCCATGTAGATTAGATTTTTTAGCCAAGTACAGACCAAGCCACGCGTTGGGGTGATAAAAAAAACTAAGTAGAGTGATTAGAATAATATTGAGAATGCTGATAAGTAGGTGCGCCTTTAGGCAGTTAAGTGGAGTGCCGAAGACATTAATTTTGGGAGTTCTGTTTGTAATTGGTGGATATATTTGCCGAAAACGTTCTTTGCTTTAAACAAGCTAACACGCTGGACACGGCTAAAGTTCAATTCTGCAGCGCAGTACACTGCTGGCAACGGAGAATGCTATCATTCTATGTGGCCGTTGAAAAGTGTATATGTACAGATACTCGTACATACTAGTATATTGCATGTATATGGCTCTAGTCTGCTAGTAGCCAGTACTGGTAGCTCGTGTATTGTATGTGAAACTATTGTAAAAGATTCACCAGCCGATCAAATTCTTCCTAGGCGTGCACCGTTTTTGTAAAGGTTGCAGGAGCGCCGAGAGTTATAAAATTTTTGTTAAATTGGAAGTCACGCACAGCTTTGCGTAGTGTTCAACGTAAATCGGTTTTGTCGCGGCTACAGGATCGAACCGAACTGATGCATGCAATGTTTATACGGGTTTGTGCAACGAGTTTTTCTTTGATAAACTGTGTAGTCGTAAAGCTTAAACAATGTTAAAAACTTAGAAAAATAGCTGAGTAAGCCGACACGGCAATCCCGAAAAATTCGCTGGTGCGTCCGATTACACTCCGCCACAGTACACATGTGTGTATGACTGTTGTCATCAAAACCAGAACGACATTTGCTGACGCCTAATGGGCGTGATATCCCTCCAACTAAAAAATATATTTCAAATTTTCCAGGTAAATAAGTATGATACCAGTAGGCTTTACCCAGTCGGTCATAAATCGAAGCCAAAATTCAATGTCGATTATGCCGGCCTACGGCTGAAGCAGAAGGGATCGGTGATGAATGTTACGTAGTTAAGGTCCCGTTGCAGCAAGGTGCTATGGGGACGCATGCCGGAAAGGGAGTTGGGGGGTTCCTTTATGTCATAGCAGTAAGAGAAAGCATGGGCTGCCAATTTGCACAGCGGCGGCTCCAGCCGCCCGGTTACCGGTTCATTCAGCCTAAAGATTCCAAATCTTTAAGGCTAATTTCTGCACTTATCGTTTGTTTAGACCGGGGAGAAAATACGTACAGCTTGAGCAAGTCCAACAGCCGCCTGCGCAACGGATATTCCTTCCACGAGTTAATCACCTGGCAAAGGTGATTAATGGCGTCCCACACAGAAGCGTCCCACACAGAAGTTCAGAGCAGCTGGCATCCAAAACCCTCAAGAAATGCTGCATTCGAGTATGTCGTGTAGAGAGACTCGGTACGGTTTAATGTACGAGAATTACCACTTCCCTGCCACGACTCAATCGGTAGAGCAACTCTTAATACTGGCTGGCTAAAAACTAATACTGGCTGGCTGGTGGGCTAAATTTAGCTCCGCTAAGCCAGCGGAGTTTCTTTAACTTTTTCCTTTCAAAATGTAGCAGAAGCAACTTTTTTCTGTAGTAGAATGTTCAGTAATTTTTTCTGAGTCTTGCAACTGTAAGTTTGTACGGATTGGTTGTATATGATCGATATGGGGACCAAAAAACGCTGCAGCTTGTCTTCAGTGGCTTATTACCATCTAAATATACAGGGCATTAATAATCGCAATTCGACCAAGCATAATTTGGTTGAAAGCATTCTTCTCTCTGAAGATAACATTTCTAAAATTTTCTGTATTTCGGAATCTCATCTTTCATCTTCGGATCCTGATCAATTATACGAAGTCCCTGGATATAAGCTGTTTCGTAAAGATCGCAGTAAAGACCACTGTAAAGTTCGCGGCGGAGGTCTCCTGCTGTATGTGCCCAGTCATATCACCAGTAAACTCGTTGATTGCAAAGAAACGTATGCTCATTGTGAAAGTTTGTGGATTTTATTACAAATCGGTAAGCGAAAAGTATTGGGGGGTTTGATTTACCGTGCTCCGGATTCCAACGCTTCAGATACAAAATATTTGTTTGCGCATATCGATAATACCCTGTCTCGGTTCCCTGATTGTGATTACGTGCTTACGGGAGACTTGAATATCGATACTTCCATCAGTAGTACTCCGTACCACCGCTATTACCATGATCTGCAAACAAATTTTAATCTCGACGAAAAGGTGATAGGTTATACTCGTGTGGCCAACAGGAAAATGAAGAAGGATAACATGAATTCTATCAGCTGCACCAAAATCGATACTATGTTGTGCTCCCCGCCTTCCCTGTATGCCAGTATGCCTGCTACCGATGTCAGTTTTCGGATCACCGCCTGTGTCGTACTGTTGCACAGTACAAAACTAAAATTCAGTTCACAAAACAATTCAATTTCGATTGTGGAGCCATACGGACGATAACAAGTTTTTTGGATGAAATTGGTGAAACAGTGAAGCGCTACGAACAGTATGATGAACAACGTGACGTGAATGAAGTTGTGGAGAATTTCGTGCAAGACCTCTCAGCTGTGGTTGACAAATGTTTTCCTACACGCTCCCGCCGTGTGAAGCGTGCATCTCCACCGTGGATGAACGATGATTTAAAAGCTATGCTAAAGATTAAAGACCAACTGTACGGAGAGAAATGCAGATCACGTGGGACACCGATGTACGATCAGCAAGCCCGAGAGTATAAGCGAGTGAAGCTAGAAGTGACCACGGCTATTTTAAATGCTAAAGAGGCGTTTTTCAAAGAAAATCAGCGCAGGAGTGACGTAGTGTGGAAAGAAATCGGCAGAACAATGAAAAAAGAGGCGAAACCTAGTGCGGTTGCAGTTAATTTAAATGCGATTAATCAGCATTTCGTGACAATGGGCCAACATGGGGCTCCGCACGATCCCCCAGAGCGACCGCCACTGGGGGACGATAGTAACGCTTTGTTTTCCAGGTTTGCGCATGTTGATACAGCAGTGGTGGCTGGGATACTTCATCGAATGGCCGCGAAGAAAAAAAGCCCCGGACCAAACGGGATGCCACCGAAACTGTTACAGAAAATCACGCCGCTCATCGCTCCAGTCCTTACGCAAATGGTGAACCAGTCGCTGAAGGAGGAGTGTTTCCGTCCGTCTTCAAAAAAGCCGAAGTTTACCCCTTGCCAAAAGTGTTTCCCCGCTGTGTGTTGATGATTTCCGCCCCATTTCGCTACTTTGTAATTTCTCGAAGGTGTTTGAAATGCGTCCAATGCAGTTAGTGCGTTTTTTGAAAGAACAACAGATCTTATCCCCAAATCAGTCTGGATTCAGAGACGGTCATTCTTGTGAAACGCTATTGTTAAAAACAACGGAGAAATGGAAAAAGGCATTGGATAGCAAGAATGTGACAGCAGTGTGTTTTAGACCTCAAGAAAGCATTTGACAGTGTAAGCCATTCGCGACTACTGGACAAGATGAAGAAAATCGGAGCCGGGGATATCGTAGTGCAATGGCTACATAGTTACCTTACCGGCAGAGTGCAAAGAGTACGAGATGGAAACGAACATCCGACTGGCTGCCATTAACATCTGGCGTCCCGCAGAACACAGTGCTCGGACCAATCCTGTTCACCATCTACATTAATGATGTACTTACTGTTAACGCAGAAGATTGTGAGGTTGATTGTTTTGCAGACGACACAATTGTCCATGCAACTGGAAAAACGAAAAATGTGCGGCCGCTAAACTGAATGCTGGACTGGTGCGTGTCGGCCAGGTTATGGAAGAAAATCTCTTGCACGTAAATGGAAAGAAATGCCAAGCCATTTACTTATGTTCTGACCGAAACAAACAACCGGATCCGGAAGTCGTCATCAACGGGTCGGTTGTCAGCATTGCACAACGTGTACGGTATCTCGGCGTTGAGATCGATAACCACTTGAAGTGGAGTGAGCAGTTCAGAAAGGTGCAGCGGAAGGGGAATTTCGGCATTGCCATGATTAAGCGGGCACAAGAAGGGCTCAGCATGTCACAGCGCAAAGGTCTTTACCACGCTTGCTTTGGATGCCATATCGGACACCAGTCGCCGGTATGGTCTGCAGCGTCTTCGACTGAGCGCGACAAGCTGGACGGACTGCAACGTAAAGCTCTGAAAACAATCACTGATTACAAGATCGGTTACTATCATAAGTTGGGTATTCTCATATATTCGACCGATGGCGTCAGAGCGATGCGGTGTGGTTGTTCAAGTTCTGGAACAAAGATCAGTTCTCACTTCCGGCCTACCTCCTGGACATGATCCAAGTAAGATAACACCGCACTACAACTTGCGGAAGCCGGCGGATCGATGTTACGCGGGCAAAGAAAGTTATCGGAGGGTCGACTATGGAAATGCGACTAAAGCGTCTTCTTGATAAAATTATTGCTGTTAATCCTAAAATTCTCGAAGCTAGTTCTGTACCTTCTTTTAAATTTCTACTCAGATCTGTTAATCTCTCCTAAATGTTTTGTTAACAGAAAATTGTTTTGTTCGACCAGACTTGAAGTCCCTTCGGGGTTGTCTGCTCTTGTGCCGTAATAATAATAATAATAATAATAAATCAACTGTTACAGTAAGAACGGATGGAACCAATCAGGAACACGAACCTTCAGGAATCCCTAAGCAATTGTGCTAAGATAAACTTCTAACTCCTGGTCGATACACATGCGGGTCGGACGAAGCACGAGCATACCGTGTTACCACGTTATAATCTGAAGCTAATTACGAACGTCGATACCACAGAAGATGCTTTACTTCGCTAACGCACAATCATATGCACAACACAAGGAAAGTTAAAAGCAAGTTACCAGTCAAGAATGATCAAGACTGACTCCGATATTAGCGATGACAGGAGAATTTATAGACTATCAGGAGCACAAGATACATCGCTATCAAGATGAGAACAGGCGAATCACAGGTAGCGATAATGAGCAACCGCAGTGACGTACAGATAGGAGAAGGCGTACAACAGTAATCACAGTTAAATAGATATGTATGTACTACTAGTATCTACACACGTCAAGTAGTCTCCCTGAGCGTACAGCTCAGCGCAGCATAATTCACCGCGATATCGACCTCCTTCGGCAATCTGTCCGCCGAATTCCATTGCCGGGCGATGGAGCGAAATGGGGTCGGAATAGCCACGTCACACAAACGCAGCACTTGGCACACATCCATCAAGTAACAGAGTTTATCCCGTCCTATCCGCTGCCTTCCGTAGTTCTGCTCCATTGCGCGCATGCACTGAACGTTCTTTAAGACGATTACCCGCAGACAAATGCGCTTAAGCAACAGCAACCGAAGAGAAACAACTCCATTTCCGGGTCTAGCCGGCCGTTCATCAGCGTCAGCGATACCGTTGCCGTCGTCACGCCGTTGTCGATGGCGTTCAGACCGGTTAGGCTGTAGGTTCTTTCCTCTCGTAGCTGATATGGTTCTCTCCTCGTAGCTGGCGTGATATGAAAATAAACGTTTCATGTCCACTGCAACATGCCGATTTCGGCGGCGACTGCATAAAATGTCGTACCAAGTCTTGCACACTCTGTAATAAAAACACTATTATGTGCAGTTCGTATGGCAGCATTCCCAGGGACACATAACGCTCCATCTTATTGTTTTTAGTGTCAGTGTATCCGTGCTGTCTGACGCCACTTGGACATGCGGACCAGATGTTCCATATCCGCCTGATCAAAAGAGCCGAGTTTGTTTTGTGTGTAGACACAGTGGATGCCTTTGGCGTCCAGCCATATCCGCACAACTTTCATCCAAGGAATTTTGATAAACTCTCTCAACAAAAGCCGTAAATCAATCCTGGAAGCCAGACGCGCCGTTTGCTTCTGTAGCAGACGACAGTATCCGACAACGGAAAGCGACTCGCCTGTTTTGTGGTGGTACTGATATTCCGGGTCTGGATGAACAAATTTTCGAATGAGCCGGCGCCGCCCGGGCGCATCGCTTCCACACATGCTGGACCGATATTGCCGCAGAAATCCTTTGCCGGGGGGAAAAGAACTCGCCCCGGTTGGAAAACGTAGGGTTCGTCGGGGTTTCCACGCAACGCGGCTTTAACCAGAGTATGACGGTCAATCTCCCTAGTTTCTAATGGTTCATGCTTGCGTCCCTTGCCAACGGGCAGCCACTGGGGCGGGCGGTTGTGACAGGCGAAATCCACCAAGACGCGACCGCCCGGCCAGTCCACGTCGCACAAATAGCCCAGAGAGAACCGACCCGTACTGGATTCGTAAACAACAGGCTGCAGATTTTTCCCAAGATTTGTCGACAGTTGCTGTTGTTGGTGATGGGCTCGCAGGCAGGGGCTGAAGTGTCTACTCGTATAACGTCATTACTTTGTTGTCGGGGGGATGACAGGGATCTCCAGCGCTTACGAATCCAACGACTGACACGCGCTTTGGTGGATAGCGACGTTGAACCTTGACTGGCCATTTCCACAGCTGAAACAGATTTACCCGGAGGAAAGTCTGAATCTAGCCGATCAGCGACACTTTTAAAAGGGGCTTAAAGGATGGAATGAAGCAGACTGGCGGAAAAGGTCTGTGGTTTACTCTAGAGCTGCATTGCGTGGATATGGTATGACCGTATGAGTACACTGAATGCATCACCATGAAGGTTGTGCCGGCTTTCGTAGCCAGTCGATGGATGGTTTGTGGGAGCAGCCGGATGTACACGTGATACTATCATTACGATACTTTGCCCGCATGCTGGCGAGACGCAGAGAGATGAGAACAGCACACCTGGAAAACAAGGAAAGAAAAAAAGTAGTACCAGAAAGTGCGTTCAACTTTTGTGTGCTACCCGTAAATACCGGCTTACCGGTGGAAAAAGAGTAAGACTTAATTTGCCAAGAACAACAAGATCTTCACCGTTTGTCGCGCTGGAATTCGCTTCGTCACTTTTTTGCTGCATAATAAATGAGCTCTACAGTGGAGGCGTTTGATTTAAACGGCCTTCGTTATTGTCAGAAAAATTAAGTGATCAGGCAGCTAAAGTAACGCGATTTTACAATTATTTATGAACATACTATGTCAAATATGTAGACATCTCGTTTCGCCGAACGCTGCGCCCCGGAAATGCGCCAACCAGGAAAGTCACCGTCGTCCATTCAGTGACTAGTGCCCAGCATTGCGTTTTTACTTATCGCCTCCCTTATAAGTTGTCAACAGTATTCATATTTGTTAGGCCTTCCCTGTATCACATAAAATATGCGAATGGGTGAAGCCGTGAAGGTAGGAATGCTTTAGACTGAGCCTGATAAATTTCCTTTTAAGTGGATTTATTGAATTTTCGAAAAATTGTTTTTGTATTTGCGCAATCGCCTATTCCCTTATGGAATTATCTGAACGATCGCACTCGGACATTCACGCACCTGTTTCATTATCACGTACTTAATAAATTATGTTGGCAATTTTTCTATTAATTACTAGCGCTACGGTATGCAGGCGAAAAACCAGTTTTCAACAGAACTGCTTGTTGTAGGACGGAATACGGGAGCAAGCCGCCTTTCAGCCACAAACCGTATGTTGCCGTTCTGCTTACACAGCAGTCGTTGATCTCACTGAATCAATGGTCAATACTCCGAAGTATTTTCTTTAGCTATCAGCTTTGTGTATACCGGAAACTAGCAAGCATACTACAAAAATATTGTGCTGAGACCAGCTGACTTTGATACTTGTTGAGAATCCTTCCGGCTAGGTTCCTTGAATTGTGCGTCTGTTTTGCTGACTGAGCTGTAATAACAGCCTGTATACCATATTCAGTTGACGTCTTGAATTCCACTTTCCCTGTACGAGGCGGCGTTGTCCAGTTCTTTTCATACTAGATCGTTATTCTTTAGTTGCTTAATCTCCGATCAGTTTCTGCCTGTAGATGTCGCGAACACGGAAAACATCGAGTGCAACGATTGTAGAGCGGGACGCGGTTTCGTCCGGCATTCGTAAGACCCTGCACGCTGCGCTATCCAGCGGGGATTTAAGCGATGTACAGTTGGCCGTCGGGCATGATTACGGGCCTGCCAAGCTCTTTCCAGCGCACAAGTAAGCACTATGGTTCTTAAGAGTTAATGGTGCCTACTGCATACTGTAGACGGGTAAAATCAAAACAGAACTGTTTCTTTGTATAAATGTTTGGCTGGAAAATGACGGTAAAAAGCCAATTTTTCTGTTTAAGCCTTATGCAACATGTCAGTCGCGTAAAAGTTGACGCAATGGTGCTTAGAAAGCAGCAAAGTGCAAATGCGATTCAAAGTTGAATCTGTGGTGTACCAAGTAGGTTATGTCGGTACCGTTTCGCTGCTTTTTAGAACTATTCTGAGCATGTGCAGTCCGGTTTTTCGGGCCATGTTCTATGGCAGTTTGCCCGAGAATTGCGATCGTCCCATTGACGTTCCTGATGTTCATCCGGAAGCCTTTGCCAATATGCTCAGGTAAGTGACGTTGAATAGTTCCTCGTATAGTAATCGTTATTTTAAATTGCACTTTCTTATACATGGTCAATGATTTCAGCTATTTGTACTCTGATCGCGTTGATCTCAATCAGGAGAACGTGTTATCGACGCTATATTGCGCCGACAGATACGATTTGCCGTTGTTGGTCGACGTCTGCTCTCACTTTGTCGTCAGCGACCTCGATGCAAGCAGCTGTCTAAAGTATTTGGACTTGGTAAATGCATTAAGTACAGTACAGAAGGCAGCTTTTCACGAACATTGTCGAACATCTGGCGCGTGATGTTTAGACGGTTAAACTGCATGTTGAGTCCGTCGTGGAGCCCTGCTTAATGATAATAGACGCGCATACCGAAACCGTTCTGCTCCTGGAACCATTCAGCCTGCTGGACAAGGAAACACTGAAGCTAATTCTGCAGCGCGACACTCTACAGGCATCGGAAACCGACATTTATATGGCAGTCGAAAGGTAGATCGTCTTTAAAATTAGATGATGCACCTTTCTTTTAAAAAACCTGGCGGTTAAATTGAAATATTGGGAACTATATCAAGCAGTGTATCTGGTTAAATCTCACTGAATAAAAAGGGATAATGGAAAGTGGTGTAAATTTAATCTGGCTCCTGGTGACTTCTACATGAAAGAGACATTTGAAAGAGGTAGTTTACGTATGACTGTGTGCACTCTTTACCTTGTACAGGTGGGCGGCAGCTGCCTGCGGCCGTAACAACGAGGAGCCAACGGCCACCAACCGGCGTAGAATGTTAGACGAACTATTGTTCCTCGTGCGATTTCCGTTAATGAGCGATAAGGAATTGCTGGATGGGCCCGCTGCGGTGGGGTTAAAAACACGTTGCCGTATTAAGTAGGTACCTATGGTACTTTAATATCGTGCCTGTGCTCGTAGAGTGGGCTGCTACTGCCACCCGAATTATGGGACCTTTACCAGTGCAAATACGCAACAACGCAACCGGCAATTCCATTTTCTGCGCATCCCCGACGAGGTGCGAGTCGTACTGGGCTGACGCATTTGCCGGATCAGAGGTGAGCGTGGAAAATTACGTCTTACGAAGTTTGGGTTGATCTGTTTCCGTAATCGATTCAGTATAACTTTTGCAGTCTGTCGGTACTTGTAACGGTTGTACTGCGACGTGGAAGCGACGGGTCTCTAGGATTCACCACTGGAACGGGGAATCTGGTACGATGGGAGGAATGTCATATTATGTAACTTAAAATTAATTAAGTACTTTCAGTTGAACTGGCTTTTATTAGTTCGATCTTATATTAAAAATGGTGAGTAAAACAACACAAAGATTAATTAAACGAACCTGTAACGAGAAGTGCATTTTCCGAAATTATGGAGGATTATTTGGCCTTAGAAGAGCATAATAAAACCCAGATAGAACGAAAAAAAAGCGTATGGAAGCGCACGAAAACGAAAACTTGCAAAATTCGAGACATACCCGTAACCATTTTTCTCAATAATTTTAGCAGCTTTTCGCATACAGTGGCTTTGCAATGACTGTAGCTGTCTTCAGCATGTCTGGCATATAGTAACAAAAATAATGTATCACTGCGGGAAACTGAACTTATGCTGTTGCTGATTTCAATTTCAAACCGTGAAAACAAAACTGTGAACAACTCATCATGATGAAAGTATATACAGACTGTACTGTTACTCTGCTTTTTAGACGGGACGCTACGGATCGTTTGCTGAAGATCATCTCATTTTTTTGCAAAAGATTATAGCCGGAGGAAGCGCTTACCAAGATGGTATGGAATGGGTTGTATAGTGACGTTAACCAATAAAGTATTTCCTCCGTTGGCAGACGATGACAGTTTATAGTCCTAAATTGTGGGTTGATACTACTGTATAATATTGCTAAACTGTATAATATTGCTGTATAATACTGTATAGTACTCACCTAAAACATTTATAACACTTAAGTAGTACATAAAACATAAAAACGTACTTAAAAGTTAAAACACGTACTTATGGTACGACTACTATAACGTCTACAAATTAATGTAGATTAAGTTTGCTTGTAGGTTGTAGCAAAGGCATCTTTTTCATTCTGCAGGTCGCTTGCAGCACGGCGATCGCATTTTCCGGGTGAACGGGGAGGAAGTGGTCAGTTATGACCACGCGATCAATATGATACGCAACACCGGAAACTTCGTGGTTTTAGACATTCTCCGTGACAATCCCTTGTGTTTTTCTAATCATTAACATCTCCATGAAGACAGTGAATGGCTAATTGTTTCTCAGTTCTTCTTAATTTCATCGTCGGGAAATCGGAGCTGAAAGAATGTGTTACCAGTTATTATACGAACTGTTTTCAGTATCTCCAAACGGGAACAACAAGCAGTTTCTATCTATCTACCTGTGCTGGATTTTGTCATCCGTTTATTTTCTCGGAGTCTGAGATAGCGTTTTCATTAAAACTATCGTTAAATTTTTAGCATATCACCGAGGCAAAATGACTGTGACACTTCTGTAGGACAGAATATCGGAAACGTACCAGGAATACTGTACTACTCTAGTATAATATTACTCTCTGTACATGAATGACACACCCAGTTTTATTGACGGTATATCCCAGACGCCGTCTATGCGATGCAAGCCACGTGACAGTGAGCGTGTCTGATGGCGGATGCGGGACCGCGTTTCCATGGAATACGAGTAGCGGAAGGCATGGGCGGCGAGTACTGTAACTGCAGCACGATTCTTCAAATAAAGATATTACAATATACATAATAATATCTCTGATTGGGTTGGAGGTCACGAAATATCTTAAGGAGATTACATCGTCTGCCTCAGATGATCTTAATGATCTTGTAATTGTTTGTCTGCTTACCTGACGTTAACGGATCATCGCCGCGCCGGAGGAAGCGTCGAGAAGGATGGTATAAAGCAAAGAAACACATATGCAAAACAAAATAGCTACGCGTTGCGTTCTATCCGTACAGCTTTCCGCCTCCGTCGGTAGAGTCGGCCGTTTGGTTCACGCAGCAGTCATATCGATCGTACTGAATCATAACAGTCTCTATTCTAAAATAGGCTAAAAAGATGTATAAACATACAGTAAATGAGTGGATCACTGTGTATGTAAGCCGACAATTTGAACTTTGAAGTATGTACCGTGCTGAATAATCTGCCTTCGCTGCTTGTTGAATACCTTCCGTGTTGAGTTCCTGTAATTGTTGGTCTGTTTCGCTGACGGAGCCGTTAATAATACTCGATGTACAGTGTTAGTGTAAGCTGCAATTTCCTACTGCGAGCTGATGTTATTAATTTTTCTTCAAAACAAAATCAATTTTTTCGCCATTGTTGTCATAGACTAATTTCGATCCGTACATGTCGCGAACGTCAAGAACATCGAATGCCACACACGTGGAGCGCGAACCAGATACTTCCGGCATCCGGCAATCCTTGAAGGCTGCGTTAATCAGCGGGGATTTGAGTGATGTGCAGTTGGCCGTCGGGCGCGACTACGGCCCCGTTAAAACCTTTTCAGCGCACAAGTAAGCCTGTTAAGCTTACCGAGTCTTCTGCCCGATGCAAACGACCCGAAAGGTTCTATTTTTATCGGTTTGTAGGAATATTCTGAGCATACGCAGTCCGGTTTTTCGGGCCATGTTCTATGGCAGCCTGCCAGAGTCTTGTGATCGTCCAATTGAGGTTCCCGATGTCCATCCCACAGCCTTTGCTAATATGCTCAGGTAAACGGCGTTTACGCTTTCTAGTAACAGGAATCCATGGGCAAGAATTCCGTATACATGTCTACTTCTTTCAGCTATTTGTACGCTGACCGCGTTGACCTGAACAACGAGAGCGTGGTGCCAACCCTGTACTGCGCCGACAGATACGATATACCGTTGCTGGTCGATATCTGCTCCCAGTATGTGTTAAGCGACCTCGATGAGGAGAGCTGCCTAATGTATCTCGATATGGTACGCTTTTTACGCCCGCTTTTTACGTTATCCCCATTTAACGGGATTAACACACGGTGCCTTTCGGCTAGTACCGGTAAGGTTTATTCCCTGTTTTCTAATGGAATTTAGACGATTAACTGGCATGCCGGCACCTTCGTGGAGCCATGCTTAATGGTGATCGACGCGCACACCGAAAGTGTTCTCCTTTCCAAACAATTCAGCCAGCTCGAGAAGAATACACTGGAGTTAATTTTGCAGCGCAGCACACTACAGGCAATGGAAAACGACATTTACAAGGCAGTGGAAAAGTTGGTGCCCCTGTTTATTACTTGGATATTAATTATTTTAATTATTGACAAACCTGGAAACTGTATTAAATGGCTCCATGTAGAGGTTTACTTAAGATTATAATGTCGGTTTCTAAGGCCTTTTGCTTCTGATTCGGCGAACTGATCATGATCCAAATCGTGAATCGATTTCATGAAGCCTGTGATTACGGGTGCCTGTCTTGCAGGTGGGCGACAGCTTGCTGCGTCCGTAGCAAAGAGGAGCCGACGGCTACCAACCGGCGTCGAGTACTTGGGGAACTACTCTCCCTCGTACGATTTCCGCTTATGAGCGATCAAGAGCTGCTGGACGGACCCGCTGCGGTAACCCAGCAGCATGTTTCAGTCGCAAGATGTGATGCATGTTTTCTCATTTCTCATGATTTCCTTATCTTTCCTATTTTCTACCTTCTTAACAACTGTCTTCTCTTTTCTCCCTGTTACGCTTCTCATTTTCCCGAACTCATTCAGTAATTTTAGATACTCCCGGGCGCGCTACGATACAGACAATACGGTTCATACTCACACTACTTTGTTACTATGGTTTTAGAGTGGACTATTGCTGCCAGCCGAATTGTGGGACATTTACCGGTACAGACACGCTGCAACACCACCAGAGATACCGTTTTCAGCGCAGCCAAGGGAAAGTCTAAATCGTATTATGATGTTGCATTTGCCGGATGAAATAATTCAAGGTCCAGCAATGGTCGAGCAGCGGTGCGCGCGTAAAATTACAGTTTGTCCAGCGGTTCTTGACTTCTCGTTGCTGTGATGCCCGTGGTACAGCAATGATGAAATACTACGGTCAGATGTGATCTTTGACCTTTGTAGTCTGCTGGGGCTCGTAACGATCGTGCTGCGACGTGGAGATGATCGGGGCCTAGGATTCACCATTGTAGGTGTCCTCCTATCGGCATCATTTTTTAATTTAAAAATAATTTCGGAAATCCTTAAATATACGGAAAATGCTACTAGTTTGATTATATTTCGGGGGCGCCGTAGTAATTATGTCCCTTTTAGAGTGATGGTGCATAAGTAACGGATAGTAACCAGACTTTGTTTTTGATGCAAGTCAGTAAGGCAATGCGTTTAAATCTTTTCTCCATTCTCTACTTCTACTGCGGGTTGATTAGAATCATTAGATGTCAAGCGCTTAATCATCTCAATCTACACGATAAATAGGTCTAGTCATAAAGACGTAACTGTTTTTAGTCTGGAGGATACGAATCGGGCAGTAAAGCTAAGCCCATCGTTGTGGAAAAAATCCCAGCCGGAGGACAAGCCTATCAAGATGGTAACAGCGGCTGCTGTGCAATGTTAACCAGTAAGACGTTTCCGTTTGCAGCATCCACACATAACCACTTCATCATTCTAAACTGTAGAATAAAATTACCGACAACAATTATACATCGTAGGAAAAACTGCTAGAGCTGAAGAAGGAAACACATTACATGAAGGTCATACTGCTAGGAAATAACAGACAGAGCAGTTCATTAACATCACACACGAAATTACGTCTATAAGGGAGCCTTTAATTTTTCAGGTCGTTTGCAGCACGGCGATCGCATTATTCGGGTGAACGGAGAGAGCTTACTAGCGGCTACCCATAACGACGCGGTCAGTGTAATCCGCAAAGCCGGAAACTTTCTGGTCCTGGACATTCTCCGTGAAAAGCTTTTGGGTTCTAATCAGCATTAATTCCTTCGCCAATCCCAGTGAATTCTTGGAACTCTGGCTTTTATGATTCATAAACTACTTGTCAAATTTAATTTGGTTTTAATTTCTCCACACCTGTTGAATGAAATGAATACGCCATAGTCATTAGCTATTTTATCTACTGGAATTTGTTAATTTTTGGGTAATCCAAGAATATTCTTAGACTGAATGATTTACTTTGGCAAAAACAAAATGGACATCGCTTAAAAACTGAAGGTCCCACTTTGCTGGTCTCGACCCTTGGAGGCACTTCCGCTGTCATTTTGTCACAGAGCAGTAAACAGGCCGGTAGAGACTAGAAAGTTAGAGATCACACTGGATCAACAGTTTCAACGGAATGACCGCATCGGCTACTTGTGTTATTGTGTACTATTTTAACGTCCGCATACAATCTGGAGCCAGACCCAATCCGAGTCAGCAGACACGTTACATTAAAAATAGAAAAGCATGAATCAGCAAATAACACATAAGTATCTGCATTTGTAATGAAATAATAGGATCGGTGTGAAAAAGCGTTTTCAGCGACATTATTTCCCGTGCATGTCAGTAAATCGACCGAACAGAATTTGACTAGCTTCCGTTGGGATGCAACAATAGCATGGAAGTTACTAACACTATCTAATTACTACCTCAATGAATATTAATCTAAAAAAACTGCTTAACAGAAAACCCATTACAAAATCAATCGTATCTCGTCTTTAAATCGTCGTCCGACCGAAATCTGGCGCAGTTGATGCGTATATTTCTGCGCCCGCTACGAATACAGAAGTGAAAGTGTATTAAAGAGACCCAATGACAGTAAACATCCTGCAAACCTCAGAGACCTATGTTAGTCTAGGAGCCGGCTGAAGTAAGTGTAGTTCCCGACTTGAAGCGGCCTATCGCAGAAGTAGGAGCCACTGGTGACTGATGGCATGTGATAGATGTGATTGTAGTTGCGTGACGTTAAGCGGCTATACTGGTGGCTGCCGGAAAAGGGTTCCTCCGTGAGACCGCAGTAGCGGAAGGCATGGGCGGCTAGTCTGGAAAGCGGCGCTTGCAGCTGCCCGGTTACCGGTTCATGCAGCCTGCAGAGATGGAAGCTCATTAAAGTAGAGTTTACATGTGCCTACTGCAAAACATTTGAAAACAATCACAGTTTTATTCCGTCAGACTGCGAAGCCAGTCTGACCGCCGGTTTTTGTGTTCGAGGCTTCGCACTGCCACTCGCATGAGTACTCGTATGCTTTGTATAAACAAGGACACTTTTCTGGTCTTTCAGTGGTCAACAATAATAAGGTTCTATTTTAGCGGTGTACAGGATTGTGCTGTTCTAAATGCTACTTCCATTGGCACCTATGGCACGGTTAGTACACGCTAAATTTTTTCAGGCATGTGTTTTTAGTTGTATGATTTGTATCCATAGTATCCCACCGTATTCCACAGTATCCTCTGCGTAAGTTTCATGTATCCCCCAAATTTTCTACTTTGTTTTAGTTACTGCAGTATCCCACTGTTTGATACGGTGGGATACTGGCTACATCACTTAGGGTATTCTGCACGTATTGCAAATATTGTTAATGGTCATTCTTTTTACGTAATTAGCGTATCTCATAGTATCCCCACGGTATCCTTTGCGTATCCTCCATGTATCCCGTAACCCCGTTATTTTGTTTTCTTAGTGTTCTTAGGTTTTAGGTTTCTTAGGTTTTTTAACGGGGTTCTTGTGGGATACATAGATGATACTGCAGAGATACGGAGGGATACGGCAACAATCAAACAGAAGTAAACAATTATAATTAAGGAAACATGAGGGATACCTAGAAGATACTGTGGGATACGGCGGGATACTGTGGGTACATGCCAAAAAAATGCCTCGAAAAATTTAACGTGTACAAAGTCGTCCATATCTATCCAGTGGTGCTCATTATTTTTTTAAAAGAGGTGGAGATACGAGTACGTACAACTTGAGTAGGTGTACAAGCCGACTGTGGAATGGGTGTACGGCACTTGTCATAATCGCGTGGTAGGCTTCGTTAATGTCGTCCCATTCAGAGGCGGTCAGTTCGGGGCAGTTGGCGTCCAAAATTCTCAGGAATTGCTGCAGCCGATCGGCTTTGTTAGGCGTGCAATGCAGCGCGGCGTTGTCCACCACGATCTCGTCATCCTCTGGGAATCTGGTTGTGGACGACCATAATCTGGCGATGGAACGGAAGGGAGTCGGAATAGTGACGTCGCGTAAGTACAGTACATGGCACGCCAGGGATAAGTGACTGAGATTGGCCCACTTCAGCTGCTTCTTTTCCCCGTAGATTTCTCCTGCTTCGCGAATACATCGGACATTCTTCAACACGATCATCGGCAGACAAATACGTTTTAGCGACACAAACCGATATATACACAATTCCAAATCAGAGTCCACACTGCCGTTCACCAGCATAAGGGACACGGTGGATGTCGTCACGGCATGGTCGAGGACGTTGATCAGATGGGTCCGGTTGTATGTTCGCTCCTGACCGCTTGTACAATCTGGTAATAAATTTCTCAAGTCGACCGCCACGTGTTGGTATGGCAGGTGACTGTTTAAAATGTCGTACCAGATCTGGCAGACTCTGCAATTAAATTACAGTTTCACGTAATGGCACGGTTTATACACGTTAACTTTTTCTGGGCATGTAATTCGGCATGATTGTATCCGCGGTATCCCACCGGATTCACCTCATCCCGCCATTATCTTCAACTTGAAATTTTCAAAAAGCTTGCTTGAATCGTTTTCTTACAATTAGGTCGAAAAAGAAATCAGGGACGAAGTGAAATACTGATTTATTTTTCGACCGAATTGCAAGAAAATGCTTCAAGCTTTTATTAAAAATTTCAAGTACTCTGTAAAGAGTACATCTGACGGCCGGATACTTTTGAAGGTAATACGCATACAAACACCACTTGCTATTTTGCACCTATTGCGGTGCTTTTAAGTATTTTCTTGTCATTGATTGAAATCATTCTTTGTGTGTATGTCATTACCCTATCTCACAGTATACTCCATGTACGGTACATCTGATTTACGGAAATTACCTTTGGGCGCTAACGACGCTGTGGAAGTCTTGAATATCCAGCACAATCCGTTCTTGTAATTCGTATGGCAACATTCCCAAGGACGTAGAATGGGTTTGGCGAACGTCAGCATTGTCGAAGCCCGGGAAAACTCCGGGCGGATTAGCGTGGCAATGATAGGACCTGAAGACCAGACCATCCAGATACTTCCCGCCCAGGATGCCTGGTTTGATGTTCGTATAGACACAGTGGACGCACTCGGCATCCACCCAGATGCGCACTACTTTCATCCAAGGAATATCGTTCAACGCCCGTAGCAGACGTTGCAGATCAACATCTTCCGCTTTTTTTCCAGGAATCAGACGAGCCGTTTGTTCCCGCAACAGCTGACAGTATCTTTGAACGGACAGTGACTCATCAGTAGGGAGATAATTTTGCGGATACTTTGGCACCCCGCGCAGTTGAATGGGACGGATGAATTTCCGAATGGGAACAGCGCGTTCCGGGGGTACAGTTTCTACATAGATGAGACCGGAATCGGCGTAGCAATCGGGAGAGATAATTCGCACCGGTTGGAATACAAAGGGTTGGTCGGAGCTCAGCCGCAGCGCAGCTGAGACCGGGGCTTTCAGGTTAACCTCGTAGCTCCTTATGTTACGATGCCGGCGGACTTTCCCGAAAGGCACCCAACGGGGTGGGTGACTGCGACAGACAAAATCCACCAGTACGCGACACCCTGGCCAGTCCACATCGCACACATAGCCTAAAGATAATTGTCCCGCTGCGCCTTCGTATACAACGGGATGTAGCTTTTTCCCCAAGATTTGCCGATAGTTGCTATCCGCGGGGATGGTGTCAAGGTCGCCGTGTTCGGGAAAAAGCTCGAGGGCATATGTGTCATTGCTTGGGATGTCCTTACTGCGCAATAGTGGCAGCGGCAGCGATTTCCAGGGCTTATGGATCCACTGAGCGAAACGTGCTTGGATCGATTGTGCTGGCGTTCCGTGACTGGCCATTGCGGGCAGTAAGATACCGTAGCTCAGATCTTTATGGCAACGGTGATAGATTTCATCTGATTCCCTTCGGCCAGGTTTAAAATGCTTTGTGCGTACATCACAGCAGGTTTATGGGTCACCTGCTGCCGGGATGAAATATTAAACATTAAGCTAATAAACTATTAGCAACAGTTTTCCGAAGCAGACTTTTCCTGCTAGGCAGATGATAAAGAACTAACTGGTAACCGAGACTGTGATCTACTCGACAGCTTATTTGGTTGTCTGGATCGATGAGTTTTCTACACTGCCAGAACGAGCATGCATATACGTTGTGTCAGCTGCTCAGCTACCAAGCCGATCGATAAGTTCTGAGAGCAGTCGGGCACATCAACTTGATGCGCATGAATCATGATCATGAGACGCGGCGAATTGAGATTAGCAAGCAAGGAGACGAGGACGGAAGGAGGAAGCGTGCGGTAAGGTTTCAACACAATTAAATTTATGCAGGAACAGAAAAAATATCTATCTATCCCGGCGCCAGGATAACTAAACATTGCGCTAACCAGCTAGGCGTCTGCGCTGTACACTTGGCCGTCGGGCATGATTAAGGATCCGCCAGATCTTTTCAGCGCGCAAGTAATTGTCATAGTGTATTTATTGCAGCATTTGCAGGTGCCCCTGATGTCGGCCTGGTTGTCTCTGTTTACGGTGTTTTGGTGTTTCTATGTTTACACATAACGGCGCGGGTAAACATACGCAAAAAAGACTTAGTATTTCGTTTTCGTATCGTTTGTCAGTTACTTCCGGGCAAGCAAGCGTACTTGTTTGGCGCCTTGAAAAACCTAGTGGTCGGATTGACACAATTATTCTGAATATCCGGAACGTATTAAACAGTCAAATTCGGTGTTTGGCGAACCTCGAAGAACACAAAGCGCTACAAACTGCAGTGGATAAAAGATCGATCTGGCTGTCAATCTTTGTGCATATGGTGACCTCCACCAAAAACGTCGCCAACGTTGCTCAGAATATGGTAACTTTATTGGTCAAATCATACTTGGGGGCAAAGTAAAGAAAGAAACATGTATACTACAACAAGAAAATCTCATTTAATTTATCCAGCCCTTCCATCGTGCCAAGCACTGACGCCGCGTTACCCCGCTGAATCTCTATCGACAAGCGCTGTCTTAAAAATTCATGCGAGCGTGCTTCGCCAGTTTGCTGCTGAAGTCTCTTCCCCAGTTCTTTGATAAATGCGATTGCTGACGGTCCCCATGGACCCATGGTTTCAAAGGCAATTGGAACGAATAGGTAACGGCCAGCTAGGTAAATATAGAGTCTGGATTTCTTATCCTCAGCTTGCACGGCGGCCGCTCCCACTGTGGTCGAAGTTGCTTTGACATGTGATGGCGCAACCGTGTCTACACATGTCACGTCCCATGCGAGACACAGCCCGCGTTTCCATGCAAATGTCGTGCAACCGTCTGGGCGGCGTTCCGTAGTGTGAGAGGTTCCACGCGGCTCCAGTTTTGCGGGCACACCGGCGGACACACATCCTCGGCAGATGATACTGTTAAGCCCGCCGTGGCGCGGGTGCCTTCCGGCGGAGAAAACACATGACAGCCCGTGGTGACCGTAACCATCCACGGGTTTGAGACATTTGACGCAGTCGTGAGGTTCACAGATCGTAGCGCCGAGGCGGAGACCAACGCTGATCTTCAATTCGTCGTCGCCCAGCAGGTTACCAATGTGAGCGGATGGCAGGGCGTTCAACCAGATCCCAGCTTCAGGTCTGGACTGAGCAAGCAGGCGCGCTGTATTTAGCTCGTCACCCTGAAACACCTCGAGCAGGGAGGAGAGGGAAACGTTGCATAATGGCAAGTCCCAAGCCTTTTGGGACTTCCGGTATGCTAACTCTGGAATCTCAGGCTGGCGGGCTTTCAGTTTTTATGACTCCACTGCACCAGAAACATCGACAACACCGTGGTCAGGCAGTAATGAAGAGAGCAAGCCGGATACGGAATGAATCGAAGCCAAGAAGGCTGGTAAAGATAATTCTTCCGACCGACGAATGCCAATTCCACCTCTGCTAACCGGGAGGGTTGCCTGACGCCAAGGCGGGTAGTCGTTGTGGTTGGTTCGTACGTTCGACAAATTCTGCTCAGATTTCAAGGAAGTGCTAATCTTGAGTCATTCTCAGTAGCGCCAGTTAAAACGATTTCAAATGTCTCTGATGAGACGGAAAATAATTGCACGTTAAAGAAGCCAGTGTTTGTTCAAACTTTAAGAAAAAAATAAAGTGTGCCGGTGCGCCCCAAGAGCAAAGCCAGATTTTTTCGGGTGATAATTGATAATCAAAAGTGCTCTGAACGAACGTTATCTACTAGAGATTTACTTAAATCGCGCACTGGTTCCTAGTACGAAATAAACAGTACCGGTAACTGAGCGCTTTCTAGGTTTATTGGCTTACGTCCAATGGTAAAACGTTTACTCTTCCAGATACTTCATTACAGATTCAAAAAGACTCATAAATTCGCAGAACCAGTTTGCTTCGCGGGATGTCTGGGGATCTTCCAAATTTCAGACAACAGAAAATCTGGTAACAAGGGCATGAAAAGGCAAAAAGATATGCATGACCAGCATGACCACAGAATAAAACACACAGGAGTCGATAGGACCATCCACTAACGTCTAACGATGGACTAATCCAATGATGCAGACTAATCCAATAATTAGTCAGACGAATCCAATGAGGCAGCACACGGGATTGTGTGCCGCAACGCCACTGTTGCCTTGTGAAGGCAGTCGCAATATTAGCAACGAAGATTTCACTCTTTCTAATGGCATCCTCGCAAAACCGGGACTGGACAAAATTGCTGCCAGTTATACGAGCTGTTTTGGGATATCTACAAATGGAAACAAACGGCTTTTATCTACCAAGTTTCTGACCCAGTTTTCCTGGGAAACCCGACAATGCGTACTTCACATTATCTTTTTTTTGAATTTATTTTTAACCTGCCATCGAGATAGGACGACCGTGGCATTCTCGTAAGACATAATAATTATAACAATTTACCTAGAAAACTACGTGAAATATACGACACTAAATTTCAGTACCGGTATATCCCAGACGCCGTTCATGTGATATGGGTCACGTGACACTAAGCGTGTCTGATGGCGGCTGCTTGAATTTGAGGACATCTCCATGGGATACGAGTAGCGGAAGGCGTGGGCGGCGAGTCTGCATAGCGGTGGTTGCAGCTCCCGGGTCACCGGTTCGTTCAGTCTGAAGGCAGCAGCTCGCTAAGTTAGTGTACATATAACGATGCAATTTAGGACATAATTCCCCGCTCTGTCGGACGGCCAGCTCACCAAGTTTTTAATCATAAACCGGAGGCTTAATTACTTCATTATTATTCTGCTTTCGGTATTTGTGTTCATCTTATGGTAGAAACGGGGGCAGAAAATACTTACAACGTAAGCATAAGCCACAGTCGGTCGTGCAACCGATGGTCTTTACGTATGATTATCTTATGGCAGGCTTCGTTAATGCCGATTACGTCCCTCGTGGGCAGTTCCGGACAACCAGCGTTCAAAATTTGCAGGAAATGCCACATACGATCCGCTTCACTGCGAGCGCAGTTTAGCGCGGCTTTTTCCACGAAAACATCGACGTCTTCTCGGAAATCTGCCGGTGCGCACCACAACCCGGCAATGGGCCCGAAGAGGCTGGGAATCGTGACGCCACGCAAACGCAACACTTGACAAGCCTGCATCAAGTAACTGAGGTTGGCCCATTTCAACCGTCGCTCCTCGTGGTTTTGTGCCAAGGAGCGAAAGCAGCGAATATTCTTTAAAACGATTATCGGCAGTTGGGTGACCTTAATGGATAGAAACTGAAAGATATAGAGATCCAGTTCCGCGGTTAGATTGCCGTTTAGCAGCGTCAGCGACACCGTGGCCGCGGTTACGACGTTGTCGAGGACATTCAGCAGATGGGTGCGGCTGTACTTTCGCTCTCGATTGCTTGAACTATTGGGTAGTAAATTAGTCAGGTCGACGGCGACATGTGGGTTGCAGCGGCGACCGTTAAGAATGGTGTGCCAAGTTTTACATACTCTGCAACAAGCACAGCTTATTTTAGCCTGAAAAGTTATTTGTATAATCGAAGATTACTGCCATAATCTATCCCATTACTTCAATTAAATGCTTCATCGGCATTTGTACAGGTAATGATCGGTAAAAACGTTGGGCATAAAATAAGTTGTTGCAGTTGCTGGGACTTACTTTTTAACGCTGACGACGCTGTGAATGTCATGGATTTGCAGCATGATCCCCTCGTGCAGTTCAAGTGGCAGCATTCCGAGGGTTACGGAACGGCTTATGTTAGTGTTTCTAGTGTTAGTGCTGCAGGAACGCGGTGGTGAGTCGAGCTGAACAGTCTGACGCCACTTGCACATGTGGACCAAATGCTCTAGATACGCTTGATCAAAAACACCCGGTTTATGTATTGTGTAGACACAGTGGATGCCTTTGGTGTCCACCTTTATCCGCACAACTTTTATCCAAGAAATGTCGTTTAAATCTCGCAGCAAGTGCTGTAAATCAATCGTTGCCGCACCCAGACAGGAATCGAGACGCGCCGTTTGCTTCTGCAGCAGACGACAGTATCCGACAACGGCAGAGAGAGACTCGTCTGTTTCGTGGTGGTGATGATGTTCCGGATAATCCGCCACAACGCGCACCTGTACTGGATGAACAAATTTCCGAATAACGCCACCACCGCCCGGCATCGTTGTTTCCACACATACAGGACCAATACCGCCGTAGCTATCCGCAGCCGAGGGTACAATGATTCGCGCCGGTTGGAACACGTACGGTTGGTCTGAGTTCGGCCGCAACGCGACTGTTACTCCAGTACGGTGACGGATCTCTCTAGTTAATACTGCAGGCTTATGCGGGCGCACTTTCCCAACGGGTACCCATTGGGGCGGCCGGTTATGACAGGCGAAATCCACTAGGACGCAACATCGTTCCCAGTCTACGTCGCACAAATAGCCCAGAGAAAATTGTCCCGGTGCAAATTCATGGACAACTGGTTCCAGATTTTTCCCCACGACTTGGCAGCAGTCGCTGTCTTCGGCGATGGGTTCCCGGGCAGCGGCGAAATGGTCTACTCGGATAGTGTCCCTGTTGCGTTGTCTGGCGAATGACAGGGATTTCCAACGCTTTTGAATCCAGCGACTGAAACGCGCTTTGACTGAGTGCGGTGCTGTGCCTTGACTGGCCATTTTCAACACTTAACCAGATAATGTCTGAGAGAACGCCGATAGGAGACGTATTTTAAACCGAGTTCGCTGATCATGAGGAGCCCAATGGCTGGTTGAGGCTTAGTCTAGAGTAGAGCTTCCCTGGTTTGCGTAGGTCTTTGATCGTTGCACTCACAGCGAGTGCAGGCTGTGTCGGCTGCGTAGCCCGTTAATCGATAATTTGTGTGAGCAGCCGGATCTACATACACCTACCGGTACTTGGCTGAGTTGGCTCACATGACGCCGCGACAGTGAGGGAATACGGCATCCGTAGTTTTTTTCCGCTTTCGTGTACGAGTGCAAAGAAGGAAGGAATCGTACAAACAACGTCATGTAGGTAGATGATTGCTAGAGTGGTCGGATAGGATGGAAGTACTGCACATCGGTAGAAGTGCAAAAAATTGTTGTTCCAGAATTAGGTAACAGGGCGCAGCGCCTGGTGGCTTGGGGTTTCGGATAAAAGAGGCGGAATAGTAGGTTTGTATATAAAGAACATTTGATGTAGCTTCAGAAACAGTCAAATGCCAGCAGGCGGAAGTGTAAAGTTTTGCGGAATTTAAAGCACGCTCTACAAAAATCCCGCATGTTCAAACTCATTCGTATGTCCTTTTGTTGTTGTGGTATTCGTATACGCGGCTTACGTTGAAATGGTTACGGCGTAAAATTTATTATATGCTGTAAAGACTATTATGACAACGCTGCTTATCCGTCAACTCAAGTAAAATTGCTTATTGGGGCAGCGCTCGATCCTCACAACGAACGAACCCTTTCCAATCTCTTTTTAATTGTCGCAAAACCGGGACTGGACAAAATTGTTGTCAAATATACGAACTGTGTCTAAAACTCTGTAAACGGACACAACAAACAGCCTTACTCAACAGAGTTTTTTTCTGGAAATCCGACTAGATGCCCTTAACACTCTCATTATATTTTCAACCAGTCGCCGAGACAACATGACCGTGCGATTGTTGTTAAGGCGTATTAATATGACAATATTATCAGGGAAACTAAACAAACTATGTCAAAAAATGACACCTAATTTGATACCGGAGCATCTCAGACGTCGTCCATGTGACGTGGGTCACGTGACACTGAGCGGATCTGATGGCGGCTGGCAGAGGCAGTGGAAATCTGCATGGGATATGAGTAGCGGAAGGCGTGGCCGGCAAGTCTGCAGAGCGGCGGCTGCAGCTCCAGTTTTATCGGTTTATTCATCCTAAGGACAGCAGCTCGCTAAAGTAAGTATTGGAATGCATATCATTCAATTTAAGACATAATCCTTGTTCCGTCGGACCAACGGAACAGCTGAACAAAATTCTGAACCTGATGTTTACTTTTGTCATGTGATATAACATGTTTTCTCAGTCTTCACTTGGAGACTGTTTTCGGCACATCGGTTATATGTCGCCTAACCAATAAGGCAATAACTAACCAATCTTATCCTGATCCATCGTCCAACGAGAGCAAAAATACTTACAGCGTAAGCATGACCAACAGTCGGCTGTGCAAAGGATGCTTGTCACGGGTGATTATCCTACGGCAGGCTTCGTTAATGCCAATTACGGCCCTCGGGGACAGTTCAGGACAGCCGGCGTCCAAAACCTGCAGAAAACACCTCAAGCGATCGGTTTCACTGAGCCCGCTACACAGCGCGGCTTTCTCAACGAAAGCATCGACGTCATCTCCGAAGTCGGCCGAAGTGCACCACAACCCGGCGATCGGTCCGAAGAGGTTTGGAACTGTGACGTCATGCAAGCGCAACACTTGGCAAGCCTGCATGAGGTATTTGAGGTTGACAAATTCTAGCCGCTGCGTCTGGAAGTTCTGCGTTAGGGCGCGAAAACAACGAATATTCTTTAGAATAATTATCGGCAGCCACGTGACTTTAATGGACAGAAACTGAAAGAGATAAAGGTCCAGTTCCGGGGTTAGATTGCCGTTCGCCAGCGTCAGCGACACGGTGGCCGTTGTTACGGTGTTGTCGAGGATATTAACCAGATGAGTTCGGCTGTATTTTTGCTCCTGGCTGGTTGGGTCATCCAGTAGCAGGTTGGTCAGATCAACAGCAACGTGCGGGCTGCGGTGGCGGCCTTTCAGAATATCGTGCCAGGTCTTGCACACTCTGCAAAAGTACAGCTTATAATAACCTTAAAACTAACTTCTCAAGAGTGGAAATAAATGTTGTCTAATCTGTTTTACATGGTGCGATTTACCCTAACTATGCGTAGCAAGCTGGACATACCAAGGTATTTTACGTATCAAGCCGATCCGAATTTCTAATAAACTGAGCCTTAGATCCGGTGTTTTCTTAAATTGAACTTTGGCTGTCACAGTTGTATTGCTATTTTTGCATTTAAGTCCACACAACTGGCTGCTTTCCGAAGCAGTATATATAATAAAGTCGATGCTTCAGTTTGCCTGCAAATTTGTGATCTGTGAAAAAAATACTTTCTATCTACACAAGCCACTGTATAAATTATATGACCAACAAGTTGTCCTGCTCAGCATTGTCTTACCAGGGCCCGGTCACCGCCTCCGCCCTCAGAAAAATTTGATAGTTTGCTTGAAGACGGAGTAGGTATTGGGAATATTTAAAAAAAGTATTTTAATCGGCAATGGTCCAGTGGTCGTGCCCATAAATAAATTTAACTGCCGTGTGTATTGTTAATGCACTGGCAATATATACGGCATTTATACATGGCTAATGTACGTATGTACGTATTCTCATAAAACGGTGTTCGTCGTACTGGTGAAAACTTCTCTTTTGACTTTTTCTTCGGTAAATTTTACTTTTTACTGACTGGCGCGGCAATGTAAAAGTCTCGTGAATTCTTTGTACTTGCCAGCATCGCGCGCGTGGTGCAGCACAGAGAAGAATTTAGAGGTATGCAGTGCAGTCACATCAAATCGACTACCGGTCAGATTTTTAAAAATTGAATGTTATGAAAACCAAATTGAAGAATTAGTAGTCAAAAAGGAAAACTGCAAATGCAGTGATACCATGTAACACTGATCGGGGTGCCGCATGTACAGTAATTGCCAATACAATGTACATTGACAATACGTACGGCATATAAATTTGTTTTTCGCCACGCCCACTGGACCATTGCCGACGAAAGAAATTTTTATGAGGGGGAGGCGGTGATCGGCCCCTGGTTAGTGCATAAGTACGTCAATTTACTCGTTAATGTATTTCGAATTAATACACTGATGAACATCTTAACCAATACTGTATACATAGTGACCAAATAATTGTTACAGCGACTCTTCTAGCAATAATTTTTAAACCTTACTTTTGAGCACTAACGACGCTGTGAATGTCATGGATTTGCAGCATGATGCCCTCGTGCAGTTCATATGGCAGCGTTCCGAGGGACATGGAACTGTCTACGTTGGTGCTTTTAGTGTCGATGCTGTTGGGATGTGGAAGTAAGCCGAGCTGAACTGTCTGACGCCACTTAGACTTTCTAACAAAATATTCCATTTGCGCCTGGCTAAGAGCGCCTGGTTTTCTTTCTGTGTAAATACAGTGGATGCCTTCGGTATCCAGCCACATCCGCACAACTGTTATCCAGGGAACTTTGTTGAAATCTCTCAACATGTTCCTTAAATCAAGATTCGCCGCGCCCGGACAGGAATCGAGACGCGCCGTTTGTTTCAGCAGGAGGCGGCAGTATGCGACAAGGGACTCATCTGTTCCCCGATACTCCGCCACAACGCGCACCTGGACGGGATGAACGAATTTCCGAATGAAGTCAGCGCCGCCCTGGAGCGCCGTTTCCACACATACTGGACCGATATCGCCGCAGCTATCAGTTGCCGGGGGAAAAATAACTCGCGCCGGTTGGAATACGTAAGGTTGGTCGGAGTTTGGTCGCAACGCTGCTATAACTGGAGTATAGGGGCGGATCTCACGAGTATTTACTGGCTCATGCAGGAGAACCTTCCCAACGGGCTGCCACTGGGGCGAGCGATTGTGACAGGCAAAATCCACCAAGACGCGATGCCCTACCCAGTCCACGCCGCACAAATATCCCAGAGAGAATTGCCCGGTGGAAAATTCACAAACAACGGGCTGAAGAATTTTCCCTAGGATTTGACGGCAGTTGCTGTCATCGGTGATGGCTTTTCGAGCAGCGGTGCGATGGTCTACTCGCAGAATACCATGAATCCAGTGACTGAAACGCGCTTTGGTTGTTTGCGGTGCTGTGCCTTGACTGGCCATTTCTTAGCTGGATGAGATCTAAGGGAATACCGATAAGAAAGATACTTAGAACTCAGTAGACAGGTTGCGTGAAACACACTGGGAACAGAGATTGTGGTTTACTCTAGAGCTTCTCTGGTGGCGTCGATCTGTGATCGATCACTCACAGCGAGATCGTGTGCGTTGTGTTGGCTGCGCAGCCAGCTAGCCGATCGATAATCTTTGGGAGCAGCCGGATCTACACGTGATACTCAAGCTAGCCTGACGATGAGATGCCACGAAAGTGAGAGAATACCGCCTGTATTGTTTTTTCTTTCGCGTTGGGTATAAACAAGGAGGGAGGAGACGAACAAACAACGTTATGGAGGAGGTGAACGGTGTGCCAGAGCGAGCGGCTAGCTTTGAATTACTACAGTAGTACATTGGCATAAAAATTTGCTGTTTTCATAAATTTGCAGGATGCACCGCCAGGTAGCTCGGACTTTGGATGAAAAAGGAAAGAACAGTATATGTAAGTTCGTTCATAAATACATTTGATGCAGCTTAGAAACAGGCAACTGTTAATCGGACAGCAGAGTACATACGTTAAGTTCTGTTACATATAGTAATCCTTTGGCTCTACTCGTACAAGGGCATGGGAAAAGTTAAGGTAGACTACTACCATCGCACCATATGGGAGTGTGCATAAGACCATAATATACCAGTGATATGACTAGTCCAGTGATGTAATATACTGGATTGCGTGTCGTTGTGGCCTTGTGAAAGTGGTCACTGGTCGGCAACGTCCGTAACAAAGTCGAGGTAATTCTTTCTAAATTCTTTCCAATTTTACCATCGCAAAACGGGAACTGGACAAAATTGTTGCCAATCATACCAACCGTTTTCAAAGGTCTAAAAACGGAAACAAGAAGCAGATTTTATCTACTGAGTTTATGGTCCAGCTTTGTTTTCGGGGAATTCGACAGTGCACACTTAACAGTATCATTACATTTTTGCGCTGTCACCGACGCAAAGTGGCCGTGCCCGTGGCCAACCTTGTATGACGTATTAAACGGATTTTTAACAGAAAACTATCTTTATGACACTAAATTTAAATACCGGTATATCCCAGACGCCGTTCGTCTGGTGGCGCAGCTGGTCACGTGACACTGAGCGTGCCTTACGGCGGCTGCCAGAGTGGTGGGATATCTCCTTGGGATACGAGTAGCGGAAGGCGTGGGCGGCGAGTCTGCACAGCGGCGGTTGTGGCTCCATGGTTATCGGTTCGTTCAGCCTGAAAACAGCAGCTCACTAACGTAGTGTATGATGATACATTTCGGACGTGGTTCCCGTTCTGTCGGACCGCCAGACCAATGGACCAGCTGACCAAAATTTTAATCAAAAACCTGAGGCTCGCTTTGGCCAAGCGATAAACCAGCTTTTTTGCGGTCTTAACTCTGAAAAGCGGGTGTGCGCCACACGTGCCGCACACTGACCATCAGACGCGAGAAGTTATTTGTAAGTGTACTGGTTCGATTAAATCTGTGCGAATAAGAAATCTTGTCCTAAATTCTATAATAATTTTCTTTTACGGCAGTTTTTAATCTTCGTTGGTTAGAAACGGGGAGTAGACAATACTTACAATGTAAGCATGTGCCACAACGGGTTGTGTAACGGATGCTTGTCCCAGATGACTATCTTATGGCAGGCTTCGTTGATGCCGATTACATCCTTCGCGGAGAGTTCGGGACAGCCAGCGTTCAAAAGCTGCAGAAAATATACCAAACGATCAGTTTCACCGAGTGAGCAGTGCAGCCCGGCTTCCTCAACGAAAACATCGACGTCCTCTCGGAATCCGCCCGGTATACACCACAACCCGGCGATGGGCCCAAAGACGGTAGAAATGGTAACGTCACGCAAGCGCAGCACTTGGCAAGCCTGCAATAAGTTGCTGAGGTTGGCCCATTCTAGCCGCTGCGTCTGGAAATTCACCGCAAGGGGGCCAAAGCAGCGGATGTTCTTTAAAACGATTACCGGTACACGTCTGACCTTAATTGACAAAAACTGAAAGATACAGAGATCCAGTTCAGCTGTCAGATTGCCGTTTATCAGTGTCAGCGACACAGTAGCCGCTGTTACGGTGTTGTCGAGGATATTAAGCAGATAAGTGAGTCTGTACTTTCGCTCCCGGTTGCTTGGACCATCGATTAGTAGGTTGGTCAAGTCCACAGCTACGTGTGGACTACGGTAGCGGCCGTTCAGAATGTCGTACCAGGTCTTGCAAACTCTGGAAAAAACATAACTAATGTTTGCTTTGAGACTAGCAACTCGAAAATAAAAGTAAATGTTGTCTACTTGGTTGTACACCTGGCGATTGCTGGTTCGGATAACCGCAAGATGTAACCTGTCTAGAGTTGTCTTAGTACCTGATTCCATTAAATTTATTGGCACTGGTGAGCATCACTCAAAATATTGCATGGTCATCAAATAGTTGTTACAGCGACTCATCTTGAATTACCTAACTTTTAAAGCTTACCTTTGGGCGCTAATGATGCTGTGAATGTCTTGGATTTGCAGCATAATGCACTCGTGCAGTTCATATGGCAGCATTCCCAGGGGCACGGAACGGTTTATGTTAGTGTTTTCAGTGTCAGTGCTGTTGGAACGCGGAAGCGAACTACGTTGAATTGTGTGACGCCACTGGGACTTGCGGACCAGATATTCCATATCCGCCTGACGGAAAACGCCCGTTTTTTTTTCTGTGTAAACACAGTGGATGCCTTCGGTATCCAGCCATATCCGTACAACTGTCATCCAGGGAATTTCGTTGAAATCTTTCAATAAGTTCCGTAAATCAATATTTGGCGCACCCGGACAGAAATTGAGACGCGCCGTTTGCTTCAGCAGCAGACGGCAGTATGCGACCAGTGACTCATCTGTTCCCGGAGACTCCGCCACAACGCGCACCTGGACTGGGTGAACGAATTTCCGAATAAAGCCAGCGCTGCCTGGACGCGTTACTTCCACACATATTGGTCTGATTTGGCCGTAGATATCCGTAGCCGGGGGAAAAATAATTCGAGCCGGTTGGAATACGTACGGTTGATCGGAGCTCGGCCGCAACGCAGCTGTGACCACAATATGGGGGAGAATCTCCCTAGTTTCTACTGGTTTATGCTGGCGTACCTTCCCAGCGGGAAGCCATCGGGGTGGACGGTTGTGACAGAGGAAATCCACCAAGGCGCGACGTCCTGGCCAGTCCACGCCGCACAAATACCCTAGAGAGAACTGTCTCGTGGCGGATTCGTAAACAACCGGCTGCAAGTTTTTCCCTAAGATTTGACGGCAATTAGTGTCCTCGGTGATGGCTTCCTGAACATCGGCGGAAAGGTCTACTCGAAGAATGCCCTTGCTGCGTTTTCGATGTAATGACAGGGATTTCCAACGCTTATGAACCCAACTAGCGAAACACGCTTTGGTTGATTTTGGTGCTGTACCTTGACTGGCCATTTCTTAACCAGATGAGATCTAAAGGAATTCCGATAAAAAATGTGTTTAAAACTGAGCGAGATTGTGTGGAGCACACTGGCAGTAGAGATGTGGTTTACTGTAGAGCTGCCCTGGTTGCGTTGATCTGCCATCTCAGCGAGATCGTATACGGTGTATACGGTGTATCGTATACGGTATACGTATACGAGTTGCGCAGCCAGCCGATCGATAATTTGTTGGAGCAACCGGATCTACTCTGTGCACGTGATACTTGGGCTAACTCGATGATGAGACGCAGCGAATACGAGAGTGAAGGAATACGACTTTCGTTGTTTTTTTTCTTTCGCTTCGTGTACGAGTATAAAGAGAAAGGGAACTTACAAACAATGTTATGGAGGTGGACGCTGTGCCAGAGCGATTGTCGTGGCGTGAAATTGCATATATCGGCGTAAAAAATTGCTGTGTTCCAGAACTCACAGGTTGCAGCGTCTGGTAGTTCAGACTTCGGATAAAAGAGGCGAAAAAAGTAGGTTTATATATAAAGGACCTTGATGCAGTTTCAGAAACAGGCAACTGTTATCAGACAGCAGAACTAGAACATAAGTGAAGTGAATTACGTTTATTAAGCCTGTGCTCCAGGGTATTGTGGTTTACATAATATAACAATTTTCAAAGATCACACACGCTTAGATTTTTTGAGTTACTTAATTTTGGTGGCGATAAATACATATAGGTAATGGTAGCTTGGGAAACAGTCGGCTCAGGCTGTGTAGCGGCGGTTCGGTTAGCGGCGTGATTATCGCGTTGCAACTGCTCCATCAACTGCTTTCCCTTCCCAATCGGACTTATGGGAGTTGGCTTCTAAAATCCTGGAAAATTTTCATAATCGAACCGCTTTTCCGGGCTTACATTGCAGCACGGCTTTCTCAACGAAAACAACATCGGCCTGCTCCGTGTCAGCTATGTACCACAACCCGGCGACCGAGCGGAACACCGTTCCAATAGTGACGTCACGCAGATGCAGTACTTGGCAAGCCTGTGTCCAGTGACCGAGATTGGCCTCGCCCGGGCGCTTTTGCTCGTCGTTCTGCGCAACAACATGAAAGCACCGAACAGTTTTCAAGACGATCATCGGCAGATGCGTGACCTTTAATGCCAAAAACCGAAAGACGAACAGGTCCAGCTCCGGGCCGAGATAACCGTTCTTTAATGTCAGGGACACGGTCTCCTTTGTGACGGCGTTATCGAGGACGTTGAGGAGATGAGAGCGGCCATCTGATGTTAGGTTGGCCAAATCGACCGTTACATGGTGGTTGCGCCGCGAACCAGATAGAATATGGTACCAGGTCTTGCAGACGCTGCAAAAAAACATATCTAATGCAATTTCGAAGCTTGTATTACTAGAGTAGAACTTGCATTACTAGAGTTCATTTTCTCGCATCATACCTCTGAGCACTAACGAGGTTGTGAACGTCTTGGAAGTCCAGCAAAATACACTCTTGCAGCTCATACGGCAGCTTTGTCAAAGAAGCGCAACGATTGCCGCTGGGATAAGTGTTGTCATCTGGAAAAGCTGTGGGGACAATGGCGCGACACGGGTACGATCTGCGGACAAGACCTCCCAAGTCCCTCTCATCAAAAAAGCCAGGTCCGTTTTTCGAGTAGACACAGTGAACGCATTTTTTGTTTGTCCATATCCGCACCACTTTCATCCAAGTGAAGTCGTTCATTGCCCACATTAAGTGCTGCAAACAAACATCTCCCGCATCCTGACCGGGATCGAGTAACGCCGTCTGATGCTGCAGCAAACGACAGTATTCGACCACGGAGAGCGATTCATCGATTTCCCAGTGGTTTCTCGGATCGTTCGGTACAATCCGCAGCTGTATAGGATGGAGGAACTTCTGAGCGGGAGTACTGCCGCCCGGTGGTGTCACTTCCACACAGATTGGACCCGAATTTCCGGGAGTATCGGGGAAAATAATTTGCGCCGGTTGGAATACGTAGGGTTGGTCGACGCTCAGCCGCCACGCTGCTACGACTGGCGTTCCTGAGTGGATTTCCCCAGTTCTGACCGCCTGATGCTTTTGAACCTTCACGATGGGCAACCACCGAGGTGCAAGGTGACCAGCTAAATCCACCAGGACTCGACGTGCCGTCCAGTCGACGTCGCACACGTAGCCCAGAACTCGTTGTCCCGATGAAAGCTCGCATACAGCTGGCTGTAGGTTGTTTCCCAATATCTGATGGTAATTGCTGTTTTTGGCGATTGCTTCCTGGGTGGCTGCAAAAGGGTCTACTTGCAGAGCGTCCTTATTTTGTCTGGCGATCGACAGTGATTTCCAAGGCTTTTGGATCCAACGGTAGAAGTTGGTCCAGGTTGATTTTGGTGACTGGCTCTGACTAGTCATTTCGACAGTTGAGGTAGGTGAAATCTAATACAACGCTCAAAGGTTTAATCCGGTTGGGAAACGGTTTAAAAAGCAGATAGACACGAGCTGAGTGCAAACTGGCAACCGAGACTGCGGTTTACTGACATTACTCTAGAGCTATTCGGCTGTGTGGATTGCTCTCCACACGGTAGTAAACGTCCACTGCGCACTGCGCAACGTAATCGATAGTTTGCTGGAGCAACTGGAATCACTCATGACACCTTCGCCCGTTCCGTTATGAATTGGGCGATTAAAATTCTGTGTACGTGTGATTGTATGAACAAACAAGGAAGCCTACGAGAACCGTTGGGTGCTGTGAGCAAACCCTGCAAGACTGCGCTGCGATGAACAGCTTGCAGATGACGTAATTAAATATCTTCCGTAGCTGCTGGGTGTTAGTTCTCAGCTTTTTTCCGGGTTATTATCGATGTAGCACGTTAAAAATGCGCCTCTGAACGCAGTCTCCTGCACGCGCGTGATCGCCGAGCTGTGTGTAGTAACTGTCGAAAACATCCAGACGGCTAAGAGATCTGGTAGACGTTTCGGCACTGAAACCGTCCAAAACGTCCGAGCACGATTGTTTCAGGCAGGTCAAATGACCCAGAACGTCCAGATACGAAATTACAGTCCGGCAGAAACGTCCGGATATGAATTCACGCTCATCCCTCTTATTCACAATCAAAAACGCACAAAAGCAATTGGTGCGAAAAATTCACGGTAGATGTTTTGGGGAATCCCAGAAGTGTTGGATGGGTTAAAAGCCAACATGTTTGCCGGGCGTCGTAACCGCGCGGACGTTTTGGACGGCTACAATTGTTTATCTCTTCGGTGCAGTGGTGAAAATGTAAAAAAATAGCTTGGTAAAAACTTAAGCTTTTTTTGCCGACGCAGTGCAGATAAATGTTCGTGGTACATCCCTGCGCAAAACCTAATTCACATCAGCCACTGCTATGACATCGTCATAGTTTTTCATCGATAAAACATCGTGCTGCGTTACTGCGTTAGCCAACTCGGTTGACCATCCGCTGCTATGCCCGACATGCAATATGCATGTATATTCAATCAATACAACCATATTGCGTTACGCCGAGGTTTAATAACGGTAGCTTACCTTAGATTTTTATGTTAGGTTTAGGTTTCAATGTTTAACCTTTGGCAAACACAAGAATTCACTCTTATCAAGATTCACAGACACAACTGTCAAAAAAATGCATTAGAGTATTACAGCCAATCAGTCTGTAAACAATGACGATACACAGAAGGAAAAGCATCAGCTTCGATCATCAAAGCAAAATCTGTTATCAGTTAGAGATACGGTTAGCGATGAAGAACATAATCGCCACGTTGAAGAACATCAGTGCTAATTAATCCATTCCCTCACGAAGGCATCTGATGGCCAAATTTTTGGATACAAAATCTTTTCAGACATCTCCTAAAAAGTACCGAGTCGGGCGAAGGTTGGTGTAGTCGAACATATGTAGGTTAATACAAGACCAATAATTTTAATGCTGGTTTATCGCTGCTCCGTTCATGTGGCTGGGAACATGTGACATGGGACGGTTCCGACGGCTGCTGGAGCTGACCGGTTTCGCGATGGGATACTGGTAGCGGAAGACTTGGGCTGCGAGGCTGCACAGCGGCGGCTGTGGATGCCCGGTCACCAGTTCATTCAGTCTACAGAGTGATAATAATGAGCACGTTATAATAGTATTTCAATAAAATTATTTGCGGCATAATTCTTGTTCCATCGGAGCGCCACAGTTATCATGCAAACATCTGACTAAGGTTGCAATGGTAAACCAGACGCTCACTCTGGAGTTTGGACCCGTAAAGCAGCGGTTTTAAAATCGTTAACGAAATTGATTTTTTGCGATGTGCATGTTTCACTTTGTAAATCTTATACTATGTATTGTATACGGAACACGACCCAGTCGTGCTTCCTTGTTTCCTCAAAACCGAGGCGATAATTACATACAATTTTGGCATGAGGAATGACATTTTGGATTGTTTGATCTTCGCGTGGCAGGCTCTATCAACTTCTTCCGAATCACATACGGAGAGTTCAGGACAACTGGCGTTCAAAGCCATCAGAAATTGCCGTAGTCGATCGGTTTCGCTGAGCGTGGATTGCAGGGCAACTTTCTTCACGAAAACGTCAACGTCCTGCCGCAAATCAGCCGGCATTCCACATAAACCGGTGATAGTCTCGAGCAAGGCGGGAAAAGTGACGTCACGCAGATGAAGTACCTGGCAAACTTGCGTCAAGTGACGGAGGTTAGCCCATTTCAGTGCCTGATTCGCCTTTTTTTCCGCAAGGGCGTCAAAGCACCAAACATTTTTCAGGACGATCATCCGCAGGCGTGTGACCTTTAACGATAGAAACTGATAGACATACAGCTCCAAGTCCGGGCTCAGGTCGCCGTTCATCAGCGTCAGCGACTGGGTGGCCGTTTTCACGGCATTGTCGAGAACATTCAGCAGATGAGTGCGGCGATACTGTTGCTCGTGGTCGTTTGAACCATCGGATAGTAGGTTGGTCAGGTCGATAGCTATGTTTTGCTTGCGGTGGCGACCGGTCAGCATATCGTACCAGATCTTGCATACTCTGGAACGACAACGTAACGCTTCTAAAACTCATAATATTAGAGCAAAAATTGCTGTGAGGTGTGGCTGCCTGTTTACCAGATGCGCAGTGAACTTGCATCCGGCCACAGTTAGAAGGCCCTTAATCTGCATTTCATTTTATCCAGATGGTCTATCACCCTATGTGGTCATCAAGTGCACGCACGCACAGATACTAATATAAATATTTATATCTATGACATAATATTATTTATTTCTACATGATGTATACTAGTGTATCTATGTGTAATGTACAGTATGTTAATTCTATTAATGACTATCTTCACATGTTGTGTCAACTTGTGCATACATGTTGTGTGCTGTATAGTGTATACTAATGTATCTGTACATGATATCTCTACATGACATACTATGTATCATAGTGCATGTACTATATAGCCGTAAAAGCTAACATAGCAGCACAATAGTGAACAGACTAACAACTACTAATAACACGGGTGCGGCGAAATTTATTAAACGCCCGAGGCGTTAATTTGGAGGGGGGCATTCTACGAATGTACTGCAGAATATTTGCTTCCTGGCTACCAAATCACCGCACGATGACAGTCTTTGTTGTCTTGCTAATTTGCTGGGGGCCATCTAATTAATAAGTTGCGGCATTGCTCGTCTTTATTTACAAAGCGTACCTCTGAGGGCTAACGATGCTGTGAACGTCGGGGATTTCTAGCAGGATACACTCTTGCAGCTCACACGGTAGCATTCCCAAAGATGTATAGCGGCTATCATTGGGGTCAGGGTGGTCGGGATACGGAAGTACTGCGGGCACGATGGCGCCGCACCGGTACGATTTGCGGACCAGACCTTCCAACTCCAAGCTATCAAGTAAGCCCGCTTGGTTTTTCGTGTAAACACAGTGTAAATATTTTTTGTCTAGCCATATCTGCACCACTTTCATATAAGAAATGTTGTTCAGTGTTCGCAATAAACACTGCAAATCAATATTTTCCGCATCCAGTCCTGCCTCGAGAAGCACCGTCTGTTTTTGTAGCAGGCGACAGTATTCAACAACGGAAAATAAATCATCGATTTCCCGGTGGTTTCGCGGATTCTCCGGGATAATCCGCAGCTGGATAGGATGAAGAAACTTCCGAGTACGGATACCGCTGCCCGGGAGTGTCACTTCCACGCAGATTGGACCGGCACGGCCGTACCTATCAGGAAAGATGATTCGCGCCGGTTGGAATACGTAGGGTTCGTCGGAGTTCAGCCGGCACGCGGCTAGGACCGGCGTTTCAGGGCAGATTTTGTTAACCTTGACAGTCTGTTGCTGGTGAACCTTCCTAATTGGCAACCACCGGGGTGGGCGGTTGTGACAGGCGAAATTCACCAAAATGCGCCGTCCCGACCAGTCCACATCGCACACATAGCCCAGAGAGAACTGTCCCGCTGCGAATTCGTAAATAACTGGCTGCAGGTTATTCCCCAAAATCTGACGGCAGCTGCCGTCGTAGGGTTCCAGGGCGGCGGCAGAATGTTCTGCTCGGATAAAGTCCCTGTTGCGTTGTCGGCCTAGTGACAGGGATTTCCAACGCTTACGAATCCAACGACTGAAACGCGCTATGGCCGATTGCGGCGCTGAACTTTGACTGGCCATTTCTACCGTTACAATAAAGGAAGGTTGAGGAAGGCCTGATATTTACCTGGCTAAGAAATGTTTTCTAAAAGAGGCAGATGGATTGCAAGGAACAAACTGGCAGCAAAGATTGATGTTTACTCTGCACTCTACGGATATCTATGATCACGACAATAACAGCAAGAACATGTACTTACACGTAGCGGTGATGGCGTGGCCAGTCGATCGATAATTTGTGGGAGCAACAGGATCTACAAAATTGATGTTGCTTTGCCCGCATGATGATGAGACGCCGCAAGAGAGGGATAATGTTACCAGCATAAGGAGGGAAGGGTACTTTCTCCATTGGATTTGTTAAACATGGCCATTTTAAAATAACGAATTTAAACTTGGGCAGTTGCACAGGTGCTGACAGCCGAGCGACTGAGCGCACGTGTGGAATATTTAATTTGCATTTGTGGCGGCCGTCGGAGTATCAGCTGAACCGGTTTTGCGGTCATATCCGGTTGCGCAAGTAAAAGCCAAGACAGAGCGAGAGAAAGCGGCGCGCAGTCACACGAAATTCAATGCCGTTCATCGGCTTAGTAAGCGCGGTGTTTGCGTCGAATGCACGTCACTCGCTCGTTTGTTATTGAGCCGGTGTCAGAGCGGCATCCGCTCTCTATAGGATCGTTCGGTATATATTATATCGCCTGTTACGATATACGATTTCACAGCCAGAATTTTCAAAGACAGGCATTTTTCACAGCCAGACATTTCATGACCGGACGTATCACCGAGTAACAATTCACTGCAGTGACGATCCAGATCCCGGACCAGATGCCGACGCAACATTTCGAAACCGTAACATTTAAAATCCGCAACGTTCATGACAGTAAAGTTCTTTTTGTTGTTGTTGTTTTGTTCTAGCAAGTGGTTATTTTAGGTCTAATGTAAATAGCATAGTGTAGAAGTATAAATGTAACTGTAAGTGTGTATAAGAGTAAATGTACTTATAGTGTAGTGTATTTTGCTCGTACAAGTTTGGAATAAATTTAAGTGTCTTTAATCGCATTATGTACATTTGGCGAGCTTCGCTCAATAAAAACACTCAAATAAAGAATTTGTCCCAATTAACATGAAATGGGACTGTACACAAACACTCATATAATAGCATTGCCACGCATTATTTCCAAGCTTAAACGTTGAATCCTTCGTAACGTTCTCAAATTTCAGCCTTTAGAAATTACGTAGTCTAAGCAGGGCGCAATCCGAGGGAAACTGAGAAACGGCTAAAAAAGGCGCCCATGGGCCATGGGGGAATCGAACCCCGGCTACGTCGTTAGGTGCGCATAGGCAGTATCACTGCACCACGGCGCAATACGTTGAAATCCTTTGAAAGATTTTGTCGCTGTACGTGAGCCGCTTCTCGCTTCACAGTACAATACCCCAATCCACTAGCGCAATGTTTTAGATGTTCTAGATTGTTTTGTTCCAATCCAGATGCGAATATTTGCAATACTCTGCTGTCGAAAGCGGCATAACGTCTTGGTTCGAGATGTGCAGTTTTATTTATTTTTGACAGTCGTTCGGTAGTTTTCATTTTGTGAGTTATTGCATTGTCTTAAAATGGACGAATTAAGCGTAATCGATTCAGTGACAAATCGAGGTGGGCCACTTAAACTTTTCAGTTTTTCACCATGGGCGAGAAAAGAAGAATAATGCGATAATTATCGTGAATTGGATTCCGTGGATTATTTGGTGAAAATTAGCTGAAACCTGCAGGTGACCAAGAAGAACGGCCTGGGCGACCAGTACCGGCATCAAAACTTTTGAAGATATTTGTTTGGTCTTAATTGTTTATCATTTTTAGTAACAGTCGATAAAGGTAAGTTAAAATTGTCTTTACCATGTTTCTACTATTTGTAAAAGGTATACTTTTTAACTTAAGCCTCCTGGATAGTAAACGTATTGGTATACGCTTATTGTATACGTATGTTATTGGGCATCACAGACACTGATGTAAAACATACTTTAATTTAAGCATAAAAACTAGTAATATAATGCGATCTCCTGGGACTTTTGAGGTCATTACGTCAAATGTGGAATGATGCTTTACAGAGCGAATTTTTAATTAGTTAATGTGCAGATTCTGGCATATTTAGCGCACGTGTGTGAATAACATACCATTGTGATTTTGTCTGTTGTCATGATATTGTGAAGAAAATAAATGTTAAGGGTAACTGCTTTATTGTTTTTGCTAATAATCACCATCGGCGATTATTTACCAATACCAACAGAACCAAATTAACCTCTGTGGCCGAAACCTTTCATTGTGAAGGGTCCCTTCTTAAATTTCCTGACCGGTTTTAGGTAAAAGGTACAAGTAAGTCTAATTAAGGAAAGTAATACTTTATGGCATTCTAAAGCTAAATGATTTGTATAATTCGGGTCATGAGGTAACCTTTATTAGTTGCGGTGCCTGCAGCAATCGGTGCTGATAATTATGATATCTGATGCGGGCGATTCCGTTCGTGGCGCTGCACAGTCTTCCAGTGCCATTGTCCAACATTGTATTTTGGCGCAATTAGTCGGCACTGATCAAGAATCTGTGCGGCGTGTGCGCATCCCGAGATAACAGATAACACTCTGCATGAACACGTACATAATCAGTAAGCTACAATTCAAGCAGTTATGTTTGGCGGGAAGGGAAGTTTATCATTAATTGTAAACATGTATAGAAAATGACCCATTCGTGCTCCTTTTTTCGAGACCGGGGTGATAAATACATGCAATTAAAGAATGGATAACAGTCGGTGGCATACGTGATTATGTTTGCATGGCAGGGTCAGTTGCTTCCCGTTTTCAGGCGGACAGCACAGCGCAGTTGGCTTTCAAATCCTGGAAAGCTTGTCAGTGCCGAACCGCTTTCCTGGGCGTACAGTGCATTACGGCTTTCTCCACGAAAACATCATCGTTCGGCCACATGTCAGCCATGTAGACGGTCGAAATAGTGACGTCACGCAGATGTAGTACTTGGCAAGCCTGCCTCCAGTAACCGAGGTTGGCCTGTTGCAGGCGCTTCTCCTCGTAGGTCTTCGGAACAAGCATGCATCGAACGTTTTTCAAGGCGATCATCGGCAGACGTGCGACTTTTAGCGACAAAAACCGACGAACGTACAGGCCGAAATCCGGGCTCAGATTACCGTTCATCAGTGTCAGAGACACGGTGGCTGGTGTGACGATGTTATCGAGGATGTTGAGCAGATGCGACCGGCTGTATTCCCCGTCATTTGGGCTATTGGATGCTAGGATGGCCAAATCGATTGCGACGTGGCGGTTGCGGCGCCGACTGGTTAGAATATCGTACCAGGCCATGCAGACTCTGCAACGAAAACATCTCACAGTGCTATAAGATAACTATTTGCTTCTCGGCTATACGAATCACCGCTCGATCATAAAACCTGTGGCTGGTAGCGCGCCGTCTAATCTTAAGTCACGACATTGACATTTCGCAGCTTACCTTTGAGCGCTAACGACGCTGTGAACATCTTGGATTTCTTGCAGGACACACTCTTGCAGCTCGTACGGCATCATTCCCAAAGACGTGCAATGAATTCCGCTGGAGTCAGTGTTGTCGTAAAATAAAAGTGCTGGGCGCGCATTGTCGCAACACCGGGACGATCTCCAGACTAGATCGCTCAAATGCGAATTAGAAAGAAAGCCCAGTTTGATTTTCGTGTAGACACATTGGACGCATGTTTTGTCTATCCATATCCGCACCACTTTCATCCAGGGAATGTCACTCAGTGCCCGCATTAAATACTGCAAATCAATATTTTCCGCATACTGACCGGGCTCGAGTAGCGCCGTTTTTTTCTGCAGCAAACGACAGTATTCGACAACGGAGAGTGAATTTTCGATTTCCCAGTGATTTTGTGGATACGTCGGAACATTACGCAGCTGGATAGGATGGAGGAATTTCCGAATGGGAATACCGCCGTCCGGTGGTGTCACTTCCACGCAGATTGGACCGTAATCGCCATAAGTATCGGGAAAGATGATCCGCGCTGGTTGAAATACGTAGAGTCGGTCGATGCTCATCCGCCACGCGGCAGTGACCGGCGTTCCTGAGTGGATTTCTTCATTTCTGACGAGCTTATGTTTGCGAACCTTTACGATGGGCAACCACCGGGGCTGCAGGTAACCAGCGAAATCCACCAGTACGCGACGTGCCGGCCAGTCGACGTCGCACACGTAGCCCAGGCAGAGCTGCCCCAGGTGCTAACTCGCACACAGCTGGCTCCTAGCTTTTTCCCTAATATGTGGCGGCAGCTCCGACCGTCGGCGATAGATTCCTGATCAGCTATAGAAGGGTCTGCTAGGAGAGCGTCCTCACTGTGTTGTCTGGAGAGCAGGAGTGATTCGCAAGGCTTTTGGATCCAATGGTAGAAGCTCGTCCAGGTCGTTTGCGGTGTTTGGTTTGGATTAGCCATTTCGATAAATAAGGCAGATGAAATCTAAGACAACGCAGAAAGGTTTAATCCGATTAGGAAACCCTTTTACTACCCAACAGGCAACGATGAACAACAAATTGGCAATAAAGAGTGCGATTTACTGACTTTAATCTAGAACTTACCTGCAGGCTGTGTGGAGGTGCTCTCCACCCGGAAAAATACCTACATGTTCTGCCGGCTGCGCTTTGCGCAACATAATAGATCGATAGTTCACAGGAGCGACCGGAACCACACATGATACTGTCTTTTCCCCATGATCATACTCGTAAAACGCGGCGATGTTGAAACTGGTGGTTTTTGTGTGCATGCTTGTACTCGTATTAACGAACGAGGAAGTGTGCGAGCAAAAGCAAGAACAGTACAGAACCAGGCTGCGAAAGCGAGCAGCATTGCTTGGAAGTTGGAAGTACTTACAGTATATCTGGCGCGCCACAAATTTGTCCGTTTCAAGATTAGCGGGTTGTAATTTACGTATTTCGAATCATATAAGCAAGTAATTTTCTAATATGTGATTTGTTTTTTATGCACTGCTTACACAAAGTGCATTTCTGGCAGTTTCGCGCCAAATAGGACTGAATTACTACTAGTACCATTAGTTTATGTGATGCCGTATAATTATTAATAGTCGACACGGCTTTTCGATTATGAATATGACTATCCATCCGCTCCATATGACGAATATGACTATATTTTGAATATTACTATAATATTATTTCCATCCGCTCATGGTGATTAAGGGTTGTTGTGCTGAATCCGCTACGCTTCTGTCGGTTATAACAATGGCTGCGGATTTTGCGCTATATATATTTTCGCGGGGCGTGGTCGTGCGTTTGTAATCATGTCAGTCTTGTGCCGCGTTACGAGATAGCTCTGGGATGCGGAGTTTGCTACCATCTTTGCTGGTGTGGGCGATTCCGAACGTGACGCTGAATTGTCTGTGAGGACCACTATAGATGCATCATGCAGCACTCTGTGATAGTAAACAAAGTTGGGATTCATTCGTTTGGTACTGGAGCGCCGTGGCCAAGGTTAATTTCGCCGTTTGCTGCCCATTAGTAGAACTCGCGTCAACAAAACACTCGACGCATTGACACTCTTTCATACGCCACTAATTGCCGTTTCTCCACGGTTTTAACTGCAGAACCATGCACCAACTGGTTACCTTCCAGAAATTGACTATTGCGCGTGACCTTTGCTGTACTGCTTCGTGTTTTTCCGCTTGGCTTGTGCACTGGTAAGTTCTTTCCTAACTGACAAATGTAAGGTTATCCTTTATGCCTGGTTGTTGCAACATTCCGTATTCTACTAGATAGTCAGTCACTGGCATTAACAGGAGTTACATTCACTGCCACATCCGCCTCCTGCTGTTCACCATGAACGACAAGGAGAAGAGCGCCCTAAATCGCTGCCCTCTTGATCGACTGTCTGTGCTTCCTGGCGGCTACTGCTTGTATCATCTGCCAGCAGCAGCTGCTGCTTGTACAGATGATCTGGATGTTTCACTGGGACCGGTGGATTCTGGGCGAGCTGATTCTCCTGCAGCACGGCATTACGCCCCGCTATACCGACGCAGCGGCCCCTTACGCTCCGGTCTCCGGTGGAGACATGTGCTAAATCGATATGCACTCAGTGCCATCGAAATTCGTGTTCAATGGGTTATAGTAACAGATGCCAGACAGAAGCTGCAATGCAAGTGACCTCAGTTCACTAAGCCACCTTAACTGAATACTAATAAGAAAAGTTGATAAGCACAAAGATCAGCTGCTGTTGAAGCGGTTTGTGTTGTTCTTTATGTATGAAATAAAGCTGAGGGGTGTTCGGTGATGAAATATTATGTACGTGCCTGTGATAATCATCAATCATCGTTTTAAATCATCTTCGGGAGCATTTCGAAGATATCGCATCATGTAAGCCGGCTGGTTGGACGTGAAGAATGCTCTTGAATCATCATTATGATGCAGTTAAGTACTGTAGCAGTTGCTCCTTCTATTCCGTGATACGATTTGTAATTACGTACAGTACATGGTTATCCTTACGACTTACGAAGATATACACTGCGCTTATGCAGACTACAGACTACACTTACCTGTAGAAAAGTATTTAAATTTAATTTTCGAAAGTTTTCAATTTTTAGCTTTGAAATACCTACGCCAGAATTAATAGCGCAGCAGTTATCGGACGTTGTCTTACGAATCAATAAACCCTGACGGAAGCTTGGTCGGAAAAAGGAAAGCACAAAAATTACAACCAAAAGTCGCTCCACAAGAAGTCAGAGTAGGTTGCAAAATTCTGGGCTAAGCCACCTCGCCCGCATTGAACCAGCATCCAGCACGATTAACGGCTGCCAGTATAAAAGAATGATACACAAATCTTGATAAAGGTGATATAACAATAAGCCGTCACGACGACGAGCTTAAAGAATACAGTGGATTAACAGCATGTTTTCGTGCTGCGTCCGTGTTTGCAACAACAGGACGTGGAGACACTCAACGTGGTTGCACAAATTAATTAATATGGCCATCCTTGCTGACTGACTGTCTGTCTTGTTTAAGCGGGCGTGTAGCGAGCTGCTACTGTTGTGCACGAATGATTTTTTCGTTACTGCCGCATATAAAATTCCTCCAAAGTTCAAACTCTCCTTTTATAATCACGTATTGTCGTTAGATCCCGACAGGTTTAGTGGTATTATTTTGTTCATTTCGATTACGGATGGGCTATGCAGTTTTCCAGTGCGGCACATGCGTACGGCTACGAGACAATCAGTTTGTAAGACTGTGTTGCTCACTTTCGTTTTTGGTACGAATACCTATGTGCTAACATATTGTGATGCTCGGCAATGTCGGCATTCCCGTATTCGTCTCCGCGGGTTGTGACCAGGTCAGTATCATGTTCTTCTTTCAGCGCTTTTCCTATGAAATCTGAGATTTCATCCGTGACCTTTTAAATATTGGGCAACAATATTGTATAGCGCTGTTGTTATGGACAGAAGCGAATACATCCTACTGATCACCGCCATTATCCTCTCCGGCACCATCTTCTTCCTGCAAGCCTTCGTTCACATTATGTATTTGTCGGAGATCATACTGCATAGTTATTAACGCCGGTGTGTACAATGATGTGCGGTCATGATGCATTTATCGCTCATTTTTACTGCAGTACCGGTAATTAATTATTTGTAAAGATACAGCCCAAACGAACACGAGTACTCTTTTCTCGTATCATTAAAGCTAGAAAAGAGCGTGAATTACGATTATGACATCAAACGGGCGATGAAAATGCTCTTCGAACTTCGAAGTCATCACGAAGCCCGAATAGCGTATGTCACTACAGCGAGGTGCGATCGCAAGCCGCCAGTGACGAAACCAAAACTACCAAATCCAATTACGAGGATCTGTACGTATTTTGTTATGTTTGTAAAGTAATGCTGACATCGTGGCGCCTGTAAGAATTGGCAAGTGTCCCTGAGATGCGTTGATTCCGAAATTAACTGGCGCATGGCTACATTACGTCTTACCAGGCTCTTGGTTTAAAGTCACGATGGTCCGATAAAAGCACCATGTCGTATAAATAATTGACGTACTTTATTTCTGGCTGCCATAATAAAGGCCCCGTAACAAAGGACAATAATGGACAATTAAATTAAGTGCGCTTGTTTTTATTTTATGCGCTCGCTCTGACACAATGGCAAGCGGCAATTACTGCGACGTTAAATGCATTTAAGAAACAATTCAGCAGCGTTTTAATGCCATTTGGGAAATGAAGATGCTGTTGCTACCGCTTCCTTATCACGCTTTTAATCAACAAAGCTGGCAGAAAACGCTTAAGATCGCTGCTGGCAAACCGGTACGGTATAGTGACACTGTCAGCTGTACGAGTACTGTATTTAATTGCTACCAAAAACTTCAAACGGACATTCGGTGCGATGCGCATAATAAATGCATGTTTAACAATGCTTCCTTTGACGTTTTTAGACTGAAAACCAGTAGGGCCTGTGTGAAAAGTCGGCAAATCAGATGGTGGTAAACAGATGTGATGCAGAGCATTCGAATACAACGGCAAATGATTCGGACATACACAAATTCCACCAGTAAAGAGGAGGACGATTTCATGAACTACCTTTACTTCTATAATGTCGTGTACCCACTCCTGCTGCTGTTGTGCACCTTAGGAAGTGCCGCTATAATTGCGGTGCGTGTAATCGTTCCGCGTTTGCGCAACACATCTCTTACCGTTTACATGATTTGCTCAGCGATTGGGAATTTATGTGTGCTGTAAGTCTGTAAAACTGTAGAGGAAGGAGCTTCGGTTGCTCTCGTTCCTGCATATATATATACGTATAAGAAACATATCCTACATATTTCTTTTATCGTGTACGTTCCTGTATCCTGTTCTCGTTCCTGCTTTTGTTGTTCTCGTTCTTGTACTCTACGGCATTTTTGTCTAATACCAAAGAGAATGTCACAATAATGCCGTGTGCTGCCGCGGTTTTTGATCTTCTAGATTTAATGTTCTTTTGTGCACTTTAACAGCTGGTCCTGCCAACCTGATTATATAAGCATGGTACTGGCCGCTTGCTTATCGCAAATTCCGAAAAATTGTTGTGCGGACTTATCTTTTTTGTTTCAGTCGAAAGATCATATTCATGGGAATTTAATTTACAGCCGCTTGACTTCGCGCATTTAAAACGCCCCAGTAGCACCCTTTCATTTACACAGTAGCAGCTTGGTAATTTTTTTCTAATGAAATTTTAGTACTAGCAGTAGTACAGATAAAGTTGTTTGTCGCTTTTAATCTTTGTGAAGTTGTGGTAGTCATTTTTATTTCAAACCGAAAGAGTACACGGTTTAAGAACAGATAAATAAACGAGAGCTCATTAAACATTTCCGCTCCCTCTGCGGTGCCCAAAACAGAGGCGGC